ATCGGAATGGTTCAGAATGTCGACATGATGATTACCGCACTGAGTCCGATTTTGCACAGGGCGCTGGTCCGAATCGGATTGCAATGCTGCCACTTCAACCATCGAGTCGAGACTCAGACTGAGTCTCGATGATGTGGATTGTCGACAGACTCTTAGGTAGTCCTGAGTCGTCTGTTGCTTTGAGAACCGAAGGTGTAACTGTTGAAGTTTGTCCGCAACATTAGCGCACAATTTCCAAGACAAGCACTTCTTCAGGCGCAGATAAGAAACTTCAGATTCCACAGTTGTTAGCGCATTCCCAATCCATCTCCTACCAACCTTGACTTTTGATTTTCTGCCCTTAACAATTCGCAGCACGTCACGCCACCCTTGCTGCTCAATCTGTAAAAGCTGCTGACAAAATGGCTCCCTCCCCTCTTGCTGTCCTGGCCGCTTTGGCGCTCCTGGTCATCGCCACCCCCTGCACAGCGCACTCTGAGAACGGAACCTTCTGGTGAGTCCACTCGAATCTGCTCCTACCTGCTTTCACCAGCTTCTGCTGAGGAGTTGGAAGGAGAATTGGGATGCTTTGTGGAATTCTTTGTTTGAGCTGCTTTGCAGATGTCTTGGCTGGACTGAGCTCACTTACTGACTGGGAGTCCTGGTGCCAGCGCTGAGTAGTGGCGCAGTTGGATGTGTGTGTATGTTGGTGGCTGGCATGATCGCTGTCTGAGATTATCATCAGGTCTGTCCAGGTGGTACTTATCCTCCATGCTAAGTAGTGTGCACCACCCCTTTTTTGGCATCCCCGGCCCTTTGTATGTTCAGGTTTTAGACTCCACAACACCAGGCTTGCTGGCGCTCTACTCACAGTTTGGAATTTATCCAATTCAGGTTGTGCAACTTTGGCTTTTAGCTTCTCTCTGTCGGTCTTGGACTTGTCAGTGCAGACTATCATGCCAATTTTTACCATCTGTAAGGGTACCGCATTGTCAATTAGCAGTGGGAATCTCAAAAGGGGGGAGGGGAGGGGGAGGGGCTGAGTTTGAGGTGGGAGGAGTGGTGGGGAGGGGGGGCGCCGCTATTGGCCAGTGCGCAACAATGGCTCTGGTTTGGGTGAGAACCATGGCGAAATTCCCCTTGTTTCGACACGATCTGCCACTTTTGGCTATCACCACCTGCTATCTAATCACATTGTTGCAGCCCAAAAGGACCCGATCAACCAACCTTCCCCAGGCCCCCTCTCAAAGGCCCAGTATCCACCCGTTCTGACCCTTTTCCTTACCCTCTTCTTTGCACGGTGGTCGAACACCCAATTTCTTGTCCACTTTGTCCCCTCCCCGCCTGCGATGCTGACGGAGTGCAGCTGCTGGCACACGTCGCATCTGCAATCTTATCTCACATCAGCAAGGACCCAACCACCCCCTCCTTACCAAAGCCCCCTGTTTGGGATGATCTTTCATCCACCGGTTCTGAACCTCCCCCTGCCTCTTCTTTGCAGGCTCGTTGCTGAGAACACCCAATCCCCTGGGGCCCGCAGCGCCGACTACCTCACCCTTCCCGCTGTTGCCAACGCCACGCGCATTGGCGACTACACTGCCTTCTCCCAGAACGTCTACGCTATCAACAAGACACTGGGTGACTTCACGCCCAGGTCCCGCGAGTTCTATGGCCACCTCACCGGGGTTAGCACCGTGGTTAACGGCCCGACCGCCAACACGACCACCCTGTTCCAAGCCCAACTGACTATTGTCTTCCGGGAAGGGCACTACGCTGGGAGCACCATTGTTCTCTCGGGTAAGCTTTTGGCAGATGAGACTGGTCCCTGATCAAGGGAGTTTGTCTCTCAATGGAAACGTGTCCACTTTCTTTGAAGGCAGTCTGAGCCTTGCTGTTCATTTTCCCAGGCTGAAGGCCTGATTTTGACTCGTCCTTCAAACAATTTTGTTCGTTGTGGATGACAGGTGCATGAGACGCTGCCAGGGCCTTTTCCATAAAAGCTATCAAGTGCATGTGATTGGAGCAGGCTGAAGACATCTGAACTCTGTTGGAAATGCATGCTGAACACAAGGGTCGTTGGCAAGTGACCGAACACCAGAGGGCCCCATTGCAAGAGTCCAATAATGTATCTGGAGGTTGCCTGTCTTGCAAACTCACATCCTGCACTAGTGCTTGCCTTGTGAATGGCACCATTGGTCTACGTTTCACCATATACGGTAGCTCGTATGGTGAGCAGTCGATTGGTACCCGACCTGCCTCCTTTCGGAAGTTTTTCAGAATACACTCTACCCAGCTCTTCCTGGTTTCATAACGGTTACCTTCCATGCGCCTGCAGGTGTTTACTACACGTCTGACCTGACCCGGCGGTACTCCATCATTGGCGGATCGGACGATTTTAAGTACGTCCGGGGGGAAGCCACCGTGAACTCGACCGTGATCAACGGGCTCCCTGGGGCTGGGAATGAGTACTACCTCTACGTCAACTATGACGTCAAGCACTAAGTGGAGTCAGAAGTCGAAGAGGAGCTTGAGCGAAGTTCCTGCGTTGGTGACAGAGTACTTTTTGCAGGTGTTGGGTTAGCGCACGCAGTCAAAATCGGAAAGCTACTGAGAGATTAGCCGTCCCTAATGGTTTTTGAGACATCTTTCATTGGGGTGTGAGATGATTTGATCTGTGAGTTGGTAAAAATGACACCTGATTAGGTTCGTGGTTATGCTTCGAATTGCCAAAGACAGAGACGTTACTGTACTGAGCAACTGTCCCTCTCAAATGACACATTGAAAGTCTTATCATCCACAAATCGAGGACTTTTACTCGAAAGTTGAGCGACCTTGCAAGCACAGGAACTTCACAAACCGCGTCTTCTGGTATGCGTTGGAAGTAACATGCATCACGGCAAAAAAATAAAGAAGCTGCATGGAACAAATGGATTCTTGTGCCTCCAGCGTGTACAATGTCTGGAGATCAGCCTCAATAGCACTGAGATTGATGTGCGCGCCACAATGATGACTGGCGCTTATTTTTCTCAGCTGGGGCCTTGCCACGCGGCACTCCTAGGTATATCATGAAATGAATCGGGTTCTGGATCATGCAGTGATCATGAACATGGCATGAGGGTGACCATCAAGTTTGATTTGAAATTGCGTAGTTGACGTCAAACTTAAAAGTTGGCTTAGTGGTCAAGTACACAATCGATCGTACAGGACTGTGAATTGTGAATGCATACAGTTCGACGCAGTAATGAAACATGTGTGACAGACGAAATTGTCTTGCGAGCAGACATGACAGCCTCGATCAGCGCATGATCTCAAACTTATCGACCATATCTAAGGCCGCCAAATGTTCTCAATGCATGCCAGCGCCTAACATTAGTAGAGAAGACTTCGAGCCTGCTGAACGGAGACTTCTCATGGAATGGGAGCCTGATATTGCAAGAGCGTGACAGTCCTTCAATATACTGCACAGCATTGCATTCTGGCCTTGCATTCTGGCCGGTGGAACCGTTTGATGTAGCTCTGCAGTGCACATGACTGGAAGTTACAACGGTAGTCGGAAGTAAGCCTGTGCGCACTGCAGCGGCGTGTGCTCCAAGAGCATCATTCATTGCAGTTCAGTCAAGCTATGAATCATTGAGGATTCTTCGAACCTCGCCGAACCCTGTGCAATCCATGTACGATGCTCCATGTAAGCGCCTACCTACAGCTCATTGTGGATAAGGGGCGTTCTGAAAGCTGATGACATCTTCTTCATGGATTCCCGCATTCAATTGTTAAGACCTTGCATAATCGACCTCGTTGACCTAGCAAGTCCGATCGATCTGGCAACCTCAACTTCAAGATCCTTGATTTCGGGCATGACAGCCCCGCCGCGTGTCCGCAACCTTCATTTAGCAATGGCAATGATCCAACGTGCCTTTACGTCTCCGTGCGTGCCACTACTGACACTACCTGACTTTGAACAGAAGCATCAACATGAATCTCTACCTGTATCGGTCCTGTAAGTCTATCAAGAGGCATAAATGGGTGGGGGTGGCATCGGCACCGCAATACTCCTGGGGCAGGACACCCTTCGTCGTTTCCAGATTGGGGGAGAATCTTTTGGGGGGTCAAACACCCCCTCCGCCGGCGACCGCAGGCCTATGTTCAGCTGCGACAGACCCGGAAGCAACCCCTCTGCCGACCCCGAGCTTTGCCGCCTCACGCCCTCCCCCGACTTCCTCCGCATTTTGGGCAGCCCGTGACTGTGCGCGCTCAAAATCAGAACCGGGGTATCCACCCCATCGTTCAACCGCTTCAGATACTTCCCCCCGGGGCTTTGGATCGCCACTGGAGACGCCACCCGCTTCAGCGTCCCGGGGCGCTTGATCCTCCCCAGTTCACCCCCCGCAACCGGCTCACTTTTCTGCCCCCCCTGCGCAAAGCTGGACAGATTTACCGTGCTCTTGCACCGCTGCAGGGGGGCAGCTCCGCCCCTGGGCTTCTCTTCCAAAACACCAAAGACCTCTCGCCGCGCACCCCCCCCAGGCGCCGCCTTCCGCGGCTGCATTACTAGCCCCCCAGCGAAGGACAGGGGTTCCCGGTTTTCGTCGGGGCTGCCGTTTTTGGAGGGGGGATAGACAAAGGGCAAGACTGTGGGGATCTTGCTGATCGGCTCTACTGGGCACGACTGGAATGCCTTCATCACTGGCCGGCCCGGGAAAACTAGTTTCCGACGCACAATCGTCTCTTTGGGCGCCATGCTCGAGGAAGCAGTTTCCCAGTCACCCCCCCCGCCTTGTTCAACATCGAGAAACTTCTGAGGGCACTGGCCCTGCTCAACCCCCACCGCCTTCTTGCTGTAGTATCTGCCGTCAACGTCGCATTCTGCGATCTCCTTGCCCCCCCGTTTTGGAGACGCCACGACTTTCTTCTCCGCCCCAAACCAGCTAGCAAACGATCGGGGCCGCGACTTCTTGCTTGTTTCGGAGTTTCTTTTCTTCAAAGCTTTCTCTACAGAACAGCCACCTTGGTGAGAGGCCAATGGAACGCTCTCGCAGTTGCACCCAGATGAGCCAGGTGGCGGGTTGTGGTTGGCTGCGGGGGAGGTAGCGTCCCAGCCCCTAGGCAGGAGGGCTTGGAAGGGGGGGGAGGGTTCAGCCTGGGTGCGGCCAACTCGGACGCGGCCCGGGAAAAACCGTTTCATGGTTGAGGGTTGTAATCTGCAGGCCAGGGGGGCGAGGAGTTTAGTACAGTGCCATCAGTTGCATGATCGCAATTGCTGCCTGAGGGTTTCCAACACTTCCAGAACAAACGTTTGTTGCAATGCAATCTGATTGAAGCAGGAACATCAAAGTGCTTCTCATCCCCAGGACTTTTGAAACAGGCAAGGACTTGGGTACAACGTCAAAACATGTCTGCCAAAGTGAGATGAAGAAGGTTTCAGAAGCATATCTTTCCGGACCTCTCTCTTGGGTTAATACAAAACCTTGAATTATGTAAGTGATCAAAGAACTCCTGTGGATCTGTCAGTATTTAACTTGCATGTAAGCACTCAGTCAATCAGTCTCTAGAACAAGTTGAACTAATGTAGGCAGGTCAATTTATTCCTAAACAACTTAGAACTAGACTTTAAACTTTAAGCCAGAGTACTAACATTAATTGTCATGAATGTTGCATCAAGAGCAGCGCTTAGTTTCTCATTTATACTTAACAACCACCAATCCAAGTTGAGGCCTGGATAATGACAGAGGCTCGCTCTTCCCCCTGTAGGAAGTACATGCGTACCACCAAAGACTAGAGAATTAACGACGTCCTTGACAGTTATGCGAGCTTTAGAGACAGTCGCAGCAATTGTAAACAACCTCCTGATTCCCATATGTACTCAAGGTACCGGAGTTGTTCCAGCACCAACAAAGACCAACTAGACTTTCGAAATGAGAATCAGCCAGCAACAAGAAACTCTCACCTGCTTGTGCTCATGCAGAAGTGCTTAGGTCCAGGAGGAGCTGGCACTAGCACACAGAGCTTCACCACCCAAACCTGCTGCCTAATCTGGAGAACTGAACTTCAGCTCAAGGGCAGCTCAAAGCATAGCAGATCCAGGCTTTTCAACCCCCGCCTTCCGCCTTGCTCTTTCAGCTCCTCCGTTCAGAGGTCTGCTAGGAACACAAGCTTTTGAGTTTCAAAAACCTTAATGTCCCAGGGCAATTGCAACCCCCAGGCAAACACCTGATAATGTGGAATGCTGCTCCGGAGGAGTCTCTACAGAGCGCCACTCCCCTTCTCCTGTCTCTGCATATGCGCCGCGGCAGCTGCAACTTGCACTTTGCTCAGCTTTTGGTGACCCACAGCTGAAAAGGGAACACCCAAAAGCTTTGCAGGATGGTGGACCGCCCCAGTTTCCGAGTGACTTCCCTGCGCAAACTTCGGCCCGGGTCTCAGGGAGTCTGTCCGTACAACGTGCACCCTGAACGCTGGCGTCATCAACGGGCAGAAAACCCACGGGACGTGACGTGTCGATGTCCACGTGCGAACGTGCAGGCATTTGGATCTACCAGTACCGTCAGATGAATGCCTCGCTTGCTTAGGTCCGTCGATAAGTTGGAATACAAGGGAGGCCGGCCGAACGCAGGTTTTGAGTTCGCCGTTGAAGCTGGCAGCCAATAAGACTGAGAAACCGTCTGCATGATATCTGCGGAAAGTTCAACTTTCATCTTGGCCTCGGAGAGTCGGAGTACGGTACACCAATGATACCATACTGCTCGTTTCAGTGAGGCTTCATGCAGATCATTTGCGTCCAGAATGGGGAGGCCCCTACTGTAGTTGCAGCACCGGCCGCCTCGTTCGTTAGGGGACAATATATATCATTACGCTCATGCGCGACCGTGGCGGCAGACGTGTCGAGCTCACTGACCCGAACTCACATGCTCTCAACCGCATCCTTGAGATTGCTTAACTTATGCATGAACCGCTGAGTAATCTGAATCGGGTGTACTGAATGAATGAATTATCGCTGTTCAATGCAGCTCTAGATTCCCTAATTTGTGCGGAAGCGGATCATATGACTGAGCACTTCCACGCATGCAATTACTATGGATCATATTGAACCATTGCAATGCTCATGTCCTGCATTGTTCGGCGGGTATGGGGCTGGCACATGATGGCCTGGTGGTACCTTTAAACGGTCGCCGGCAAAACCCGTATAGTGCAATATATGCATGCAATGCATGGACACAATATCTCAATAGCTTGTCAACCAGATAATCGACAGGCTTGTATTGCACCATGCCTTGCACAAGCTCTACCATGTATCCACATGCAGATTATATAAGATATACGAAATTCCATCAAGTAGAAGCGCTTACCCCCTCAAACACATACCAAAATCCGCATACCATCCGATGAAAGGGACACGAAATTGAGAGACAGATTTCGGTTATGTTCAAGATGCTCAAAGGGTTCCGCTTAGAACACCAGCTCGTGGGGCTTGACACCAGACGTTAGTGAGAAGCGCGCACTAAGGTAGCTCTTCAAGTCGGCCACCTTCTCAATGGCGGGTAGCAGGGCCTCGTCCACCTTCTTCTGCGCGTCAATCTTCTCCTGGGACACCTCCTCCTTCTCCTGTGAAGTGAAGTCATACAAGTCAAAAGCAGGGACAATTGAGGAAAGTCGACACAGTTTCAGGGCGCTCTCAGATGAAGTATAGGCACCAGCGGACGCTTCAAAGCCACCAGATTCCCACTGAGAACCAGAAGGCAGCAGTCACAGATCAGCGAACGCTGATGAAGAAACAATGGAATCTTTCTCTAACACTGCCCGTGCCGCCACGCCGCTGTCCTATGTAAATGCCCTTTCTGCTTTTTGTAAGGCCTCAACTACGCGAAGATGTCAAACATCCTGCCCTGCTCAATTCCTCGTTCTAAACTGCAATGTCCCGACAACGTCCCTCCACAGATGTTGCGTATCAACTCAGATTGTTGCCAATATAAGAAGCTCGATGTCTTTTCCAACTGTAATTGTTGATCAGACGAAGCACAGCTTAAAAACCATTCAAACGAGCAGCTTTCTTCAAACGAGCAGGAAAGCTGAATATACTCAAGAATCACAATATGAAATGCGGGGGTTTTCATGTGCAGCGCTGACCTCCTTGTCTTCCGTGAAGAACTCGCTCTCGCCCTTCTTGGCAGCCTTCTTCGCCTTCTTGAAGAAGTCGTCCGCGATCTTGCCAACGTCCGCCTTGCTGACGTCAACCTTGGTCGACGTGGCAATGACGTACGCCTGGTTCACCCGCCGCAGGGGCACGCCGTTCACCTTGAACGGACCTGCAGCAAAAGCGGAAACCACTTCATACAAATCAAACCGTTCTGGGCATCTTGAAAGACCTGCAGCACAAGCAGCAAAACCTTCTATCTCGAACAAACGAACCACTTGGGCCCCTTGAAAGGGGCAAAATGGTCTTGTACTCGTCATGGAAATCAGCATCCTCTCTATGGAGCAGTAGCGGGCCCCCCAGGCAAACAAAGTACCTCGGATATTAATCTCAAAAAACCAAGGTCTTCTCTGCACTGCTTCTTATATGACACGGAACCTCCTACAGTGCAATCGTCCATCGAACGACTAAAGCTCAACCCTTCTTGACCAATTCGCGGTTCTTCTTTGGAGCAGGTCTTGGGAACCCTTCGATTGGAACAACGCTCTTCTGCATCTCTTTCAGAAAGAACAGCACCAAGCTCCTTGTCACCAATCACTGAACAACTGTGGTGCAATTCCAACTGGTCAATCCTACTTAAGTCATACCAGTCTTGAGTAACCCATCAAATTCACGCTTACCAGTAACCAGAAGCAGCCCTGACGTGAGCTGCTTCAGGAACACCACACGCTTGCCCTTGAAGCGACCGGCCAACAGAATCAGGACAGTGCCAGGGGTGATGGAGGCTCTGCAGATCAGAATATTGAAATGCTTCAAGTGTTTGCTGAATGGAAAGGATATTGGGTTCGTTGTTGTGTGCTAAGCTCGTTGTAGTCCACTAGAAAGAGCACGGCGCCTGGAAAACCAAAGTCGCTGGGCTGGCACTGCCTATGATTGCTCAGACCTCTGAGCAGCTTTCAAACAACTCCCTCAGAAAAAGGGACCGCGAAAAGGAACCGCAGTCCCACAGCCAATCAGCGAACCTGTCAACAAGCCCCCACAAACCCCGTGCGACGGCCTTAGCCAACGTTTGCTCACAACATTTGGAGCCTCCCCATGTAGGCCTTGGTCCTTGCACTGGCGAACGTGCCAGAATGGCCATCGAACCTGGTCTATGCTCGAGGGGGGGGGGGGATCAGAACAAAATCTTCTTTGTGCCCGCACCTAAGCTTGGTCTGCTTCTTGATGATCCGCGAGGCCAGCGGCTTCTTCACGTCCTCTGCCGGGTAGAACCGGGGCTCCTTCTTGGCAGCCTCGGCCTTCTTCACCGTCTTCTCGTGCGTTGGGAACTTGCCGCCGTGCTTCTTCTTGATGGCCCACAGACCCCTCCGGTGGTAGGACGCCGACCGCGAGTCCTTGCTGATGCCGCCAGCCAGCAGGCGCGGCTTGGGAGCCGACTTGGCTGCCTTGGCCTGGGGGAAAGGATACTCAGCTTGAGATCACGTCATGAGTATATTTGTGAGTCTGGAACTAATAACTGTGAATGACCAAAAAACTGCGCACCCTCTTTGGTCAACAGCTGGAGAGGCCGGAGCATAAAGACCGACTTGCACTACACCCACAGCTTGAAAGTGGTGAAACATACTTGTCTGATTCAGGCTTCCTTGAAACTGAACGGAACAATCTGCCCACTGCTAAGAAAGAGAATGTCTTCAAAGGATCCAAAGCAAAGAAACCTTTCGAGAGGGCATTCTTCAATTTGCAGCGGGCTGACTGAATCTAGTCACGAAACTGCACACTCCCGCTTGCCAACAGTTTGAGAGGGGCGCAAGAGGACTGCGTGACGAATATCTATGGCAAAAAGGAGTCTCTAATAGCAGCCATACGGTAGTTGTTGCTGCTAAACAGCCGGAAACCACACATGATTCCTCAATCCTTGGGTCTGCCCCCGTTTCCATTCCTCAAACACTGTCCATCTTGATCAGCCTGAGTAACTGCCCTAATTGGATGCCTTCCGCCAGCGACTCCCACATCATTCAAATCTCATGGGCATCGAGATGGCTCCAACCGTTCATTGTGCTGTGGATGAGCCTCCGTTTAAAGACACCTCTAGGCCTTCTGTCAATCCGCTTTCCAAGTGCTAGAACCTGTCCCATCCGAATCAAAAAGACCACACTTGAGGTGCAATAGCCAGTGCCTGCAATCGGCTGACGGCATCCCTTGCTGCGACTATAAACCCTGGCGCACTGGATAAACTGACAACTACAAAGCGGTGCAAGACACATCAAGAGCGCCCTGGAATTTGAAGTACCATATTGGACGGATGCATGTCCGTATGCTCTGGCAGGTCCCCGAATCAAGGCCGCTTGAACCAGCTGCTCAAACTTTCAGAAGGACTTAGGCCAACAACCAGCCAATTGGTGCTCGACACTACTGCACTGCCCCAAAACAGGCTGCTCTTGTAGAAGCACGCCCCCCCTTGGGGGCTGCCAGTGTCCATCGAAAGCGAAATGTGGATCTCTCCCTGGCCAACAGAACGGACCGACAAAGATTTCTCCTTGCTATAACCTTCCAACCGGAGGCCTTGAAATCATCGTTCATGATCACGAAACCATTACCACTGTTTCCAGAACAAGCTGACCCAAGTTTGGAAAGACGACAGTTCCCTCAACTTAGAAAACCTTCCCGCAATCCACCATTACCACACAGCCGCGGGCTCAACTAGGCCCCAGCAGAATACCCAAGCCTTGCTCCTGCTTCACCGTACGGCCATGGTAACGGCTTCCATATCAGTACGTATTCAGAATCCCTGCAACTGCCCTCGCAACAATCTCCCTGCTAAACCAACGGTAGAACAATCACCGCCACACCCCTTCTTCGGACTGCCTGGCTCCTCACCTTAGGCTTTGCTGCTGCGACAGCCTTGGACGCCTCCGCCTTGGGGGCAGCCTTGGCCGGGGCAGCCTTGGCCGGGGCGGCCTTGGCGGCTTCCTTCTTGGGGGCCATGCTTTCCACCTCCTTGGTGCAGCCCTAGAGACGAGCGCTAGCCGTGCTGCGCGCTTCTCAAGCAGGCTAGAAAGAGGACGAGGTGCTCGCGTTTCAGGCAGCAAGAAGGAGACTCCTCTGCAGCGACCGCTGCCCAGAGTGCTTTCTTCGGTGAAAGCAAGTGCTGAAGCAATGTGTTGCTGCAGAGGATGCCAATGTAGAGGTTTGACACTAAAGCAAGTTCCTTCGGACTATTTTGGTTACATCACGAAATAGTGTCAGTACCTTCTGGAGGAAGATGGAACCCTAAACTTTCCTCTGGAGCGCCTCCGGCTCCAGCGCTACGTATGTTCAGCTCCCCATGCATGGCATTGTGTTTCGAAAAGTGAGCTCGATCGAGCTCACTTTTTTGCAGGGCGCGTCCTCCATGATCAATTTCGACCTACGACGCTGCTGTCAAGAGCTAACATCCCAGGAAAGGCTGCATTGAAACGTCGCCAGACTGGAAGGTGGGTGCAGTGGTGCGCGCCTTTGGTTTTAATGCAGAAAAAGGTCACAGGGCTTGCAATCACATAAGCATAAGTTGGACCTGTGTGATTCTTGACGTACGCTTACTGTGGGTTGCACCGCGTGCACGTCATGCATAGGTGCCTCATAGGTGCATCTTTGAAAAGACCTTGCACCAGTGCCATTGGTATGCCATAACGAATATTCTCGCCAATTGAATAAGCATACCTTCCTCTTTTGTGCAGGGCTTCTTTGATTGCACTGGTGGCGCTCTAGATCATGCTAGAAAGTGCATAAGTGGAATTGGACAATTGGTCAAAGTAGCAGATGCAGTGCAAAGTAGCTTATTCTGGCCTCTCTGCTCTTAGCACTCGCTTGAATCTCCACACCACTCGCTCTATCTCTAAACAAAGCTCTTCCAATGCCTGCCACTGCACAAATGTCGAGTCCCCTTTACACAAACACCGCATAAGACTCAGATCATTGTCTCGTGACGGCGTATCTCTCGCCTGGTGTCTTGACAACCTTCGAAGTTACCCACTCAATGCTGGTCAAAAACTCCACCTTGTGAAAGGCACCATGTCGAACCCATCAGCAGCACTTGGACCTAGGGAGCAGGCCAGTACCAACCCCGTTCTGTCCAGAGATAGCTCCACACAAGCTGCAGCACCTGACGCGATGGGAGGTGCTGAGAGAGTAACTAGGGAGGGGGCCCTTTCTGAGCGAGCTGAGAGAGTGGTGGCAAGGAGTTCCTCACCTTACTATGCCGGATGGAAAGAAGTAGCCCGGAACCCGTACGACAAGAAATCCAACCCTGAAGGCTGCATTCAGCTGGGTTTGGCTGAAAACATGGTGAGTCTATCCCTGAGGGCCAGAATTTATCGTACCTTTTATTAGGCTCAAGCTTGTGCTTTTGCTTTTTTCAAATACGCGTGCGTACCAGAAGAAACGTCACAAACGGGCAGTGATCCTGAGGAGGGCGCTCCATTGCTCTTGGTTTGGAAGACCTGCGTCCCCCTGCTGTGACCCATCCAGACAGGAGATGACCATTGCTCTGGCGCAGTCTACTGTCAACGCCTTCGATTGGTGTTTTCCAAGAAATGAGCTTCTCGCTCTGATGGTTCCCTGGCAGATGACTTCAGTAGTGCTTTCTATGGAGGAGACGATGCACTCCGTGAAGCACTAGACCTAGCTCTCAGCACTCAATGTTCCATAATCTTCTTGGCACTCTTGAACCACAGTTGTCGATTGAAAGCCATGTAAAGCACACCCCCTTAACACCACTGTGAAGGAGTCGGAAGCATAAACCATCTGGTCATCTGTGCAGTTGTCCGTTGACTTGATTGAGGAGTGGCTCTCAGTGCACCGACTAGACTTCTCAGGCTATCCCGGGGGCCCTGCGAACGTACACGATGATGCACCATACCAGTCCAACCACGGCAGCTTGCGCATTCGACAAGTGAGACAATATGTGCATCTGACTTTTCCAGTGTGTCAAGAATCGGCCGACCCTACACATCAGCAGAAAGTCTGAGGTTGCTTAAACGTTCAACAACTGCACAAACGTACAACAACTGAACAAAACCGTGTTTTTTTTGCAAGAATAGAAATGAAATGCCGCTCGGGGCTCTGTTGAAACTTGAAACATCGAATGCTGGGCACGGAAGTCGAAATAAACATTGAGATCTCTAGGTGACGCAATTGCTCTCTACACGAAGTTCTCTCTTGCTAACATTCACGATGCAAGACCCTTCGAACAGATAAATACACACGGGACCCAATCTGAAAAGCCTTCGGAATCAAATAAAGATGCCATAGAAGTATGCCTCATGGTCCCCCCACCCTTGCTCGCAGGCGTTTGCTAAGTTCATGCAAAAAGCTCTGCAACTGCGAACGCCCCTTGAACCGGAGCACGTCCTCGTGGGGGGAGGCTGCTCGGGTCTCATCGAAATCCTCGCCTTCTCTCTAGCGGACCCGGGGCAGGGCTTCTTGCATCCCAGCCCCATCTACCCGGGGTGAGCCGTCGAGGTTTTCACCCTTCCGACTCATACTTCTCCAAGAGTCTGGCTTCTCATAGGTGAAAACGAGATTGTGAAAGTTGCTCGGCTTGACCCCTGTGCCGATTGCAGAGGCACGAAGCGAATTTTGAAACGAAAGTCCGCACAACCAGCAGCTTTCGTGGTCAACTTTTGCATTTTCTCTCTCTAGAAGCATCTGAGCAGGAGTCTGGATGTTTGGGGAGCTCCTGGTTTTGTAAGAGCTTCTTTGGAGAATAGGTGGTGATCTTCAAAAGCCGTCGGCTGCTTGACCGCTTCTAACACCGCCTCCCTAATCGCGGACCACTTTGCAATGCTACGCTTCACCTGCAGTCCGACGAGGCGCTGGACGTTTTCAAATATAAAGGCACAGTCTTTCGAACGTTTGAAAACTTTCCTTTTCGTCTTCTGATTGGACGCTTCTGATGGACGCTGCTGAACAAAAATGACTTCCACTTTCTATACCATCCACTTTCGTGGCAGCAAGGCATGCCCAACCTGACAGGCTGCTCGCATCAACAATTCGAGTCTTTATGGCCGGCATCCGAACCGCATCTTTTTCTCTTCAGCTTCGAGACCGACACCCTCGTCCGTGCCGGAACGCCTCTCTTGCTCGTCCCGGGGAAGAGCGCCGACCACTTCGCCGTCACCCGAGATGACCTTGAAGCGGCTGTTGCCGAGCATTCCGCCCGGGGACTGGTGCCCCGAGCGCTTCTCCTAGCCTCGCCCAACAACCCCCTCGGAACCACTTACACCCACGAACAGCTCTCCTCCTACCTCGCGTTTTGCAAAGCCCGCTCCCTCCACGTCATCTCTGACGAGATCTACGCCGCGTCGGTGTTCGGGCCCCCGGCGTTCGTCAGCATGCTGACGGTCGTCGAGGAGTCGGACAAAGAAACGCGCGAGTTCGCGCGCGAGCACGTCCACGTGCTGTACGGAATCTCGAAAGACCTGGGGCTGCCCGGGTTCCGGCTCGGGGGGATGTACACGCGGAACGCGCGGCTGGCGGAGGCGACGTCGGCGCAGCTGCGCTTCTGCTCGGCGTCCAGCGTCACGCAGCGGCTGGTGACGTCACTCCTGGAGGACGAGGCGTTCCTGGACTACTTCTTCGAGGTGAGAGCGCCGATGGCTTCGTCGTGGACGGTTTCGTTTTGAACGTGGCCTTCACGATCCGCTCCAGTCAGCTATGCTTTTCGAATGTGTGACGATAAGAAGGGAAAGGAAACGACAAGACGGACGCCTCCTGATACGAACCAGATAAGAAAATGGCCGTCTCGAGAGAGATGCAAGTTCTCAATCATGTCTCCGATCGAAGCCTTTTGGCACTGTGGCGATACGCGTTGACGGTTCTTGAGTCCTTGTGTGCAGCCCAAAACCCAAACCCTGCAAGCGCTCTACCCCATTGACCTGCAGTATCTGCTGCCGCCTTCGGCCTTCTCACCTGACAGGAACTTGGTTTAACTGAGGGTTTTCAGATTCTCGTCGGGTTCTCGTTTTCGTAGATGGATTCCAGTCGAGCTCATTCGGTTATGCTCAGCTTTCACCGATTAAGTTTAGTGGAAAGACTTGTCATTTCTCGTTCATCTTGGAGCTGGAAGGGTGCGCTGCCGATTTGGACTTCTCTGCTCAAACAAGCAGACTAAAGGCGTGACTATGTTTCTGCAGGAGAATCGTACTCGTCTTCGACGCCGGCAGCACCTTCTCGTTACCGGCTTCGCCGAAGCGGGAATCCAGACCGTCCCAGCAAACTCCGGCCTGTTTGTATTTGCAAACTTTCGGCCCTTCTTAGAAACTCTGGACGAGGAAGGCGAGTTCGCGTTCTACATGGAATTGCTGAAAGAGATCAGGATAAACGCCAACCCGGGCGTTGCATGTCGGTCACCCGAGCCGGGCTGGTTCCGCGTCTGCTTCGCGGCTGCGTCAGACGACGCGCTCGAGGCGGCTGTTCATAGGTTGAAAGACTTTGCAGAAAGGACAAGGCGGAGAGACTGAAATGATTGTTGTTGACATTGTCCGAGCCGGACTTCTGATTGTGCAAGCTCCAGTTGTGTCCCGTTGGTACAACATCTGCGCGCGTTCTTTCCAAGAGTGAATTCTAGCAGTGCATCATCAAGTACTTATGTCAAAGGCGATGTTTATATGTCAGGCTCATGAGTTGCCAGCCTGGCCAACCGATACAGGACGGTCTGTCAATATGATAACAATCCAGGTTATCGTATGCGTCACCGCCGCCGGCAGGTGATATCATCTACCCGTACGTAGCCGTCATGCAGCATTGGCGGCCTACAGACCTATCATCGCATGTAATACCGATAATAGAAGCTAGAATATCGTCATAAATTAAGCCTCACTCAGCACTGAGGATGACAACTTGCCTGATGGCTGCCATGTTGGCCGGCCGGCCTCGAGCAGGCACTGATGCAGTGCAATTTCAGTCGACTAAATTGAACGAAGAAACGTACGTGCTCATGCAAAGGCATGCATGCAAGCAGCTGAGCAACTAGCTGCGCCAGTGTGCATCGACTTGAAAACCCTATACATATATATTATGGAGTTCTCAAAACCCTAACACACCTTAGGCTTCAGGTTGCCACAGCTCGGAGAGGCATGTGCAGCCTGAGCAGATCATCGATCCTGGTAGCTTGAGCAGCAGAGAAAGCTGAGCTGGGGGCGCAGCTTAGCTTACCAGATGCCTAATCTTAGCAGGATCTGAGACACTGATACAGTGATAGGACAATCGGATTTGGTTAAGGAATGGGGAGCTCTCTAAGCTAGCTGCTCCAGCTAGCGTGTCTCCGATTTGACAAGGCGTGTATAGCTGAGAACATGTAAACAGGGCGAAGTTGTAGAGCTGCTCCTTTTTGTCGTTTCGGAGGACTCGCCAGTTGCATTTTGCTTTCACATCTCTCTTATGGGACAGAAACTTCCAATGCTTCTGCTTGCCGAGCTATAATATCAGGATATGATAGCAAGAGCAATCGGTCAACCTGACTGCCTGAGACGAATCCCCAAAGGCAAGAGACAAGATGCGTGCTCGGCGGAGCAGTGAGCCCACTGGCCTGCGGTTGACCACTGCTTTGGTGATGCTCATGGTTACATGCTTGGCATGCTTCTATGTGGCAGGAAGGTGAGCCAGCCTGGGGTTTTGCATTGATGTGGAAAGTTGCAGAGTTTTTCAAAGCAGTTTCCGTGGTTTCAAAAGGGTTGCTGAGCGGTTAGCAGGACTTAATTGCCCTTAGTAAATGACCCTTAGCTGGAAAAGCATCAATTATGGTGGTGGCATTGATAGTGGACAAAAGCTGCTGATCAGATGCTGATCCTTGCCCTCTGTGTGAAGGGAGTTTCATGAAGAAGTCCTCCTGACGGATCTGCGTAAAAGGTACTCGATTTTCAGCATCATCTGATTGATGGCACATCGTGAGATCTCACAACAATCGGTTATCATGGGAAAGTGTCCCCTCAAAAGGATATGTATAAGAAAGCCGGGTTGTGCAGGTTGTTCCAAGATGCGCGTCTCAGAGAACAGCTCATGCAGTTGCAAGCGCAAAAGTCCGAGGTGAGGGACGCCGGAAGATCTAGTGGCTTCTCCTTGTTGATCAAAGTTGGCCCTTCTGTCCTGCCTTCAGTGTTGTGCACATCTAATCTCAGTCAAACAAGAGATTTGTCTGTTTCAAGGCAAGCGGGCCTGAGCATCGTTATATAGAGACTTCTTTTCCTTCTTTCAGGTCAATCTATATCAGGAGTGCCACGAATTGCATCTTTACTCTGATGCAATACTTCAATTTCAAACTTTGACGCCTGACTAGGTTTCACATCACAGTAGACAAGCAGAGTTTCTAAAACGCAAACCATTGTCCTCATCAATTGATGCAGACAAGCAACGCTACACCTCGGCAGGGGACCGAGCAACTCTTGGAGTACAGGTACAGTCCCTACGCTTCGTCCCTCTTCCACCCTCACTTTAGCACCAGCTGCCAGCGTCTTCCAAAAACCAAACTCATATTCTCGCTTGAGAGCTACATGACCATACCTTTGATTCCAAAATCTACACTGTTCCTACAAGCTCAAAACTCTCTTCCGCCCTCTTTCTTGCTTGCCCACTCCCTATCAGGGAACAGAAGAAGCGTATTGCTGAGTTGGAAATGGAGTTGGCGGCAGCCCGAGCTACGGGCTTCCACCCTGACTTCCGACTTGCAAACGCCAGCGAGACTGGGGGCCGGAGAGCCCTTGTAGTAGTGGGGATAAACACAGGATTCGGGCAAAGATCACGGCGGGACAGCATACGGAACGTCTGGATGCCCACAGGTGGGAGCTCTGTCTGATCTTTTACGCGTGCGTACTTTACTCGTGTCTGCTTGTACCTGCAAAAGAGCTCCAGGCAAATCCTGAACGGAATAGTAGCAGGTTTCATGGGACTCAGATGACTGGATGTTTTAGGCTAGTTTCACAGACACGAGAGTGGGAAGCCTCAGCTCGACTGCACTGCAGCTTCGTTCAGACCTTCTCTGATCCCGAGATACCATCTTGTTTCTCAGAGTATGGACTTGTTTGAAAAGCCGGTTGTCATTCCGTATAATCATCGAGGCAGCAGCCTGGTCGACACTCTTTTTACTAGACCCAGACAAAGGTGGACAATCATAAAAGCTGATTTATGACATGGTTAATCAACATCGTCGATTAGCAGAGATCCACAGATCGTTGAGTGGCAAGGCAGGGTATCCTCCAAATTCAACGAGCTAACCCCGAAATTGGACAAAGCTCTGAGGGTGTTGTTCAAAGCGTCCTCCTGTGTGCAGGGAAGGCACTGACGCGCTTGGAGGAGAAGGGAATCATCGTCCGGTTTGTCATTGGCCATAGGTGAGGCAGACTTTGCTACTTTTTGGTGTGCAGTCAGAGGTCCGCACCAGGACAACACACACTGGGATGCTCATGTACGAGGTTTTTATGGCACGAAAAGCCTTTTTCATTTCTTTCCTGTGGGCTAAACGGTAATTGCAGTTTTTCAACCAGTGTCAAGTATTTCTGTGCTGATTGGGCAATTTCTGGATCCATCGAGAGTGACAGGCCGCTTTTCCGGAGACGTTTACCCATCGGCAGGGTCCACTTGAAAAGGGTAAGAGTAGTTGTACGTTTGCTGTTACGGAGTACGTCACTCAGCCCGACTGGGTATCCGGCGTCGGACAGGTCCGCAGTAGAGTTGGACGTCTGCGCATACCGGTGGAGCGGTCAAACAAGGTGGCTTTCGAGAAGGCGAAACAATAGACTCATCATTTTGGAAGTATGGCGGACGTACTGGAGTCGGAACGCCTCACTCGTCGTCCCCGGTGTGGCTACGTTAGGGGCCACCTTTGATCATTAAGGAGGACTACGAGATGACTGTTCGATTGCCCTATCTGGCAATCGAAGGGCCAGTCTGACCAGAACCGCCGACGATTCTAACACAAGAGCACATTGAGATCGTCCCTTTTGTCCCCTCGCAGTCCAATCGGGGCTTCGTATGTCGTCGTTATCAAGAACGATCACTAGAGGTTTCATATCGCCCCCCCGCAGCACCGACTGCGTGACAGCTTGGACGATCAAAACTTTTAAAAAAAGTGCTTACATTTGCCTCTTCTTTACTTGCCCGCAGTCCACTTTCACGACCTAGTCTCAAACACAAGTGGTGTCTTCCTTCGTTCCGCAGTGCTAACCAGGGCGACATCTTGGACCGACAGGTCGAGATGGTACAGACTGCTTCCTCACCTTTCGCTTTTCGCTTTCCACTCATCAAAATTTAGTTCCGCCATGCGCAAACTAGAGCGGTCTGTCTTTCGTCCCCCAGCGCCAACCAGGGTGACAGCTTGGACCGGCAAGTCGAAGAGGAGAACCGGGAGACGCAGGACTTCATGATACTGGACCACGTGGAGGGCTACGACGAGCTGCCAATAAAAACGCAGATCTACTTCCGGACCGCCATCCAGACGTGGGACGCCAACTTCTACTTCAAAGTGGACGATGACGTCTTCATCAGCTTGGGTAAGCGGCGAAGGGATATATGCCGTAGAGCTCTAGTGTCTTCCGTAAGTGGGGAAGAAACGGTAGGGCCTTGACCTACAGCTTGCTGCGTGCCACACGTGGTTTCCGAACCTCCAGGGATGAAACCTCTTTTGAGGTACCTCAAACCCAGCCGAGCAAAAGGAGTGACGACTAAGGCAGGATGCCTCGTTTTTTTACGGCTGCTCAAGGGTTGTCGATGCGCGCACCCTTCGAGATGTGTACGTTAGCAGCTGACTCGTCGGTGCCTTCACCAGAAAGGCTCTCTCTCTTTCAGGATCGGCCCTCTTACTCGATCCTGGCCCCCTGGCCCCCCCGACACTTTGAAAACAAACACTTGGCTTTAACCTGTCCCGTTGTTAACAACGTGCCCGTATTCTCCCGCAGACGAGCTGGGGTCGATGCTGGCGACGCACGCGGCGAAGCCCAACGTGTACGTGGGGTGCATGAAAAGCGGGGAGATCTTTACGGAGCCGTCGCAAAAGTGGCACGAGCCCGAGTGGTGGAAATTCGGGGACTCCAAGACCTACTTCCGGCATGCGACGGGGCAGGTCTATGGGATCACCAAGAACGTCGCGTACTACATCTCTATAAACAGGTGAACTTGTGCGCTTGTTTTGTTGCAACTGCAGTTGACATGTTGGGTTAAAGCAAGAATGGAGGCTTTTACGGTGGATGCTGCGCGCTGTAACAGATTGCCGAGCTTCTTGTTTCAGGGGCCGGAACTCGATCGGCCACTGGAAGTTTGAGCGAATGATGAGGAAATCCGCTCAGGTCTTCTGAGTCTCACTAATTAGAGTGAACGCACATCATTCATGACTTTTTTGCACCGAAGTCAGATCAACCGCTCCTCTCTTCACGAAGTGGAAGCGAAATAGAAGAAGAAGGGACTCGGGCCTGCAGGAATCAGTACCGCTATCTTCGATTGTGTACTTCACAAAAAACCTCCACTAGTCCTTCTTGACAGAGCATCTCTTCTTGCAGGCCAATGCTCCACAAGTACCGGAACGAGGACGTTTCTTTGGGGTCCTGGATGATCGGTCTAGATGTCGAGTACATAGATGATCGACGGCTGTGCTGCGGCAGTCCCCCGTCGACTGAGTGTCAGACTTACAAAGCTGCAGATAAGCCGTGTATAGCCTCCTTTGATTGGGCGTGCAGTGGGCTGTGCGAACCTGTTCAAAGAATGAGGCTTGTAGCAGATGTGTGCGCAAATAAACAGTCTTGGGAATAAGTAATACCACTAACCACTTAATCACTCCCCCCATTTATATTAATCACAGCCGCGTGAGTTCGTTCCGACATGATGGCAACGGTTGTCCATATGTAACACTAATTCCGGTACCGGTATATCCACGACCGGATGTACGTGCCGCCCATATGCTCTTCTCTAGCGCTGGACCGTCGTACGGTCCTGTATTGCAAGTTGCCATCATATACAAAGCTGGGGCCGGGGGCCGCGGCCCACAATTATTCAAAGCTTAATAATGCATGCACTTGGGATTAAGTCCTCGAATTGAATCGGCTGCGCAACGCACTGCACGTTGACTGCGTGCAATTGTGACGTTTGTGAATCGATCCGATCAGAGCTGTATATATCATTGTTAGTACGTCGTGAGTCATCGATCAGTTAACTTCATCTGATCGATGATCGACGACGTACGCAGTGGATCTACGATCGGACGTATAGTATTGCATACACATGCCGCCATGTACAATGCATGATTCATCAACAGTTGTCTCTAGAGCTCTCAGGCTGTCGCCCTAGCCGCGCGGTCGCGTGCAGTCGGACCGGGCGTATACTCATCTGAGTCAGTGTGTTGTGCGCACATGACTGGCATCATGACTTGCATCCGTTTCAATATCAATGTCCGACTAATCTATCATCAATTCTCATGAACAGGCACCGTCCACCAGCGCGCGGCAAAATAACAATTCCGACAATGCAGCGCGAATCAATGAGGCGGCTGCCAGGAGAGATGTAGCACAATAGACTGGGTCACTACCTCGAACATGCTGGGGTGGTCGAATTTAAGTTGCGAGCTGCAAAACTGGTCGGCAGTTTACGAGTCATAATGCTGCCTCCCAAACCGGCCTACAAAAGCTGAACTGAGCTCTTCAATGTAAGGAGTCAAGGATGTCTATCCCTTGCAATTGAAGTCAATCGTACTTTACAAAAGTCTCAGTCTGCCAGGAGGCTATCATTCATCTCCTGATTGCAAAATCACCTCTGTCTTAATTCCTAGTACGCTTTTGAAGTCTTTCAACAGCAAGTCTGGGATCTTGACTTGCCATTGAGGTACGTTCCTGCAAGAGGTCGACGGTACAAGGAGAGAGACTCAGATATGATTAATGCGTGAACGGACAAGAGATCGCAATACAAACGAATTGGAAACGATTTCATCGTAGCCAGATTCGATCGAAAGTATGCAGACAGATGACAGCCAAAACAAGGATGAATATGGTGATTCAATCCCGCCAATCACAGATTTATCTCGCTTGTGATCTCTACAACACAAATTGAGAGCATTGAACAATCTTAAGTATGCCACTTGGACACCCACCACGGAGCAGCATGCATGGAGACCAGCTTGTACGCAACAATGCAGTACCAACGCAAAACTGAGGGCGAAGACTCACCGTCATCAATTAATGTCGGCCATGCTTGGGCAAGACCCGGTTTGTGCCAGTTTTGGAGGTGCATAGATTGTTGGATTGTCCCTTTTTGACAACTGTTTTCCCAAGCCCAGCCATGCCACTCTGGATCAGGAGCTGAAGCTTGGGCCTTGGCTAGGTCGAGCTGCTCTTTTTCCTGACGCTAGCCAAAATGGTGTCAGGATCTAACCCAGTTGAGTAACCCTGCTTGACCTGGATCCCCTTCTGCGATGCCTTCTCTTCTACAGATTGTTGCACCATAGCTGGGGACGCCAGACCCGCGTCTAACAGATTGCACGCAATCTCCATCACCCCGGGAGAATGGGGCAAAGCCATAGCTTGTACTTTAGGAAGGCCCCCACCCCTCTGGCTAACTGTTCGTGCTATCCAGCGCGCAGTCTCCATGTCCTCGCTAACAATCGGAACATTGTAATTCACAACCCAAGGAGTGGCGCCCACACAGACCACCCCGCTTTTGTCAAACCCATCTGAGGAGCCATAATCATATGCCGGCAGCTGTGAAAGGAGAACTGGAGGGGAAGCTGAATCTGGGGAAAGGGAATGAACGGGGTGCAAATGATTGGGTGGTGGTATTTCAGAATCTTGTACAGATGGCGACAGCGCCCCACTCCACACCCCGTCTTTGGCCCCACGGAAGTATCCCAACGCTCGTCTCAGATCTGCAAGCGGTCTTGCGTCTTTCTGCGCAGCACCATAAAGATACACGGAAACGCCACAAGCAGAGCCCAATCGCTCTGCAAAGCGAACTGCGGTGGTCGCAGCTAGGTCCAGATCAGAAGCGCCTTTCAGAGGATGAAAAACTATGTGGTCTACGGCTCCAGTCCTTGGATGCGTTACTTTGACGTGCTTTCTCAGATCAATCTCCTGTAGGCTTTTGGTGGTCAATGACAAAACTGCATTGGTTAGAGCTGGAATTGTGCCAGCCAACGTGAATCCTGTGCGGTGGTACTTCTCATCTTGGAAGATGTGGCAGAGCAAACAATCAGGAAGGGCGCTCTCTGCAACTTTTGACAGGCGCTCAAGCAGTGCTATATCCCTTCCCTCAGAGACATAGACATTGGCCGCCAGAAGTGGTGGTGTGTTCCGCATTCTGGCCGATGCAGAAAAGCCTTGGCAAAACGCTGAAGTAGGGACGCATGTCTGAAACCTCCGGCACAAATGCAGCATTCTGTGAGGGGGGTTGCAGCAGAATCACTGCCGTCTGGATAAGCTAGCGTCACTCGCTGTCGTATACTGTACAGCAGAACAACGACAAGCCAAAGCTGCGCCACCTCAATGCTCCTGGACCAGGGCTAGCCGTTAGAGTGGCGTCAGCTTCGCAGTTTCACACTAGATAGCTCAAAATCAAATTGCGCCGCCCTGACAGTGAATGCTTGAAGTTGGATGTTTGGAAATCGGAAACTCTTTTCTTGATGCCATGATGGCCCGTCATACAGCTTATATATGTATGCTTAACGATGTATTGAGCCTCCTCGGGGTAGTCAAATTTCCAAGGATCGCAGCTGTTGGATGGGGATCGGAGGGTCAGATTTGCTCCCTTAATGCTCCCGGGGTAAACCACTGCCTTATAGGGGCTCCATAACCTCTCGTGACGTGTTGCCCTATTATTTGTATATTTCTGCAATTTGGTACGACCAATCTGATTCCCTCCTCGAGAAGGAGGACAAACTTCGTCACAAAATCTCAAAGGAAGGGGGCGCAGGTGTGGTGGCCCCCACAGTGCAAGGGCTGCCTTTTGAGCAGGACAATTGCACATCCTCTCATGAGTGGATCAAGCTCTGAGCAAGACAACACCTATAGAGATGCAGCTTGCTCAGCGAAGAAAAAACGGGACCACACCAGAAGGGTGCACTGCAGAAGTGCACATGAGTATCGCTTGATATTTCAAAGAGGACATGGATCTTTCAGAGCAGGCGATTGCGGCCATGCTGGCAGACGAGGCCTCCCAGCTGAGACAGGCCGCTGGCTTCCAGGGTTACTCGGCGTTTCTGCAGAAACCCGTGCTGCGTGCGCGGCCTAACAAGCAGTTCCTAGCTGCGACTGTGCGGAGCGTAGAGAGTGGTAAGGTCATCTTTGACCTTCTACAGCTTTGGTTTCTTGTTGTGGCTTGTGTATTTTCCTCACTGCTTCAAGAATTGCTGCAATCTTGCACCTCTGAAAGGATTGCGAGTTTGGTCACATCTCGCAACAAGCTGATTGCATTACATAGATATCAGCATGTGAGCAGTTGGTTCTTTCTCAACCCCTGCCAATCACTTCACTGACACCGCCCAGTCATGTACCAACGACCAAATGTTTACTGCAAGTCATAACGTCAGGCTCCTGGGAAATCTGAGGTCTGCTTGATTGCCCCGTAGCCCTTCGTTCCAAACATTTTTCACTCCCCCTATCTCCTTTGCAGCAAACCGCATGGCCCAGGTCTCTGAGATGTGGCATCAGCGTCAGAAGGAGCTCAGTGAGGAAGAGGGGTCTGGCAGAAAAGCCAGAGGAAGCGGTGCTGCTGGACGCCGAAAAGATTCGGGAACCAGTGGCAAGGATTCAAGTCGAAGAGGGGCCACGATCAAGCTGAAATCCCCTCTGAATACAGAAGCAGAGCGTGCTGTAAGAGAAGATGGTAGACAAGAAAATCATGCCAAGGGCCGCCACAAAGGTTTTCCCCAGGAAAGGGGAAACGGCAGCGAGGATGAGACTCCCTCGGAGGATGACAGTGATGTGAGCGGCTTCAGTGGAGAGCGGCCGGCAGCGCGCGTCCATAGAAGAAGGCGACAATCGATTGAAAGGAGTCAGCACGCGTTGGAAAATGAGGGGGAGCAGATAGGCCCAAGTGCCGCTGGGGAGGGCGACGATGCGCAAGAAGTGGAGCTGGATGAGTTCCTTCACAGCAGGTGAGAGATGATGGGGAAGCTGGAAAGGGCAGGTAATGCTTGACAATCATGCCGAGAGAGCGGGGGCATATTGTGTCTTACGCGGCATGTTTTTTCCTGATGTCTTGTCTTCGTTGTCAATAAAGTTGTCCGTCTGGTGTCAGAACTGCAGGCCTGAATTGCAACATTGAGTGTGAGTCTTGTTGGGGGAATCCGGGCACGTGTCCTCCGAAAGCCAATCCGAGCCAATCTGTTGATCCCTCTTCGTTTGTCATCCACCTGTCACAAGGCAAGGGTTATGTTGTACAATGGTGATCAATGGGAGACTGACTCAGGAATTGTGTATTTTGGTCGAGTCTGTTCCTATGTTCATAAAACTTCGTGTGATACAAACATACTCCACCATCACGAGAGTGTTCTTTGCTTTCAGGAAGAAACGAGGACGGGGAGCCGTTGGTTCGAGGATGGATGAGCCAGGACCGTTTGCAGCTGCGATGGGCGGCGATGAGATAGATGACAGGGGCACATCCGCAAGAGTCCCAATTGTGTTGGGACCCCAGCTTCCGGCAGAACTCGAGGAGAAACGGAAGAGAGAAAAGCGTTCAAGAACGGAGGCATTCTTGGTTGATCACAGTTCACCTAGTAAATCGGGGAAGAAGCATAGAACTGACGAAGGAAAAAGAGCAAGAAAAGAAGAGAGGCGAAAGCGAAGGCTAGAGAAGGAGAGACTACGGGAAGCTAAGCGTCGAAAGAAGTCGTCAAAACATGAGTGACGCAATTTGGGGGGATAATTGATCTCCCACTGCGCAGCTCTTTGTTCTTGCCCAAGCCGCCATTTGTGTGAGCATCTAGGGCTTCTGAAAGCAGGCGAGCAAAAGAACATGTCCGGGGTGAGCCCAAAAAGCTTGGATGCCTCCGTTCTTGTTTGCTTCTACAGCGTACGACTTTTTTGCCTTGATGAAAATTCGGAGTCTACAACTTCGTGGTGAACACCGTGTGTGAATATGTTAAGTTCAATTCACCGTACGCTCATCAGTAAGCTCCTCTTATAACTGATCGGAAGCATATGCGGCGGCACTTTGTGCAGGCCTAGCGGCGCATGTATGTACCTCATGTCAACATGTAGGATAAGCAACCTCTTATATAGCTTGAATTGTCGGGATTGCCAGTGCGCACGGCGGCCAGGACCCGTCATACCGCGTCCTCAGGCATATGTGCGTTGCATTCCAAGAAGCATCAGCTATTCAATGGTTGGCTGCAACGATTCTAATTTTGATTGCATTGAGGTCAATCGAGATGACATGGCCGCATGGCTTCATGTCAAGGATCTGCGGGCGGAATGCGGCGCCGCCACATGGTTCCATTGAAAGTTCGGATTACATACACGGGTTGCTCATGCTCGATCATGTAGTCGACTGCACAGTAACTACTATAGGCCAGTGCATTTTCATTTGCATCGACCAAATGGTACAAACCTGGCAATTCTTGTACGCACTTGTATCATTTAAGAATGTAAGGAAAGGCGCAGATAATAGCTTTGAATCATACACACGTCTGAAGTGTCTTGGACGGTCCAACCTGCCATGTCTACCTAAGAGTGACAGTACCCCCTGTTGGAGTGGTGTCAAGTTCCTTCTTCCTGATAATACCGATATGCGAATCATAGTCGTCGCTTTGCAACTCGTCCTTCGCCCTCGCCTCTTTATCCGCCTCAATCTGCTCGAAGCTCTTTGCGTTCTCCTCTGCGTGCACCTGCGCCGACTCGAAGTAGCTCTCGGCAGACTTGGTGATGAAGGCCGTCTCCTCGGCCGTCAGCTTCCTCAGGAACTTGGCGGGGTTACCAGCCCAGATCTGCAGGCGAAAGAGGAGAAATTAGAGCAAGAACGAAAACCTATGCTCTCAGAAGTAAGAAGCTACGTAAAGTGCTGGCAGTCTCGTGCTGGGCCTCCCACCTATGCCGAGACGCGAGAGTCGCTTGCTGAAATTGAAAGACAAGATTCTGTTCCTCTGTTGCCCATTTTAAAGGAGCGGAAGCAATAGAGACATTGTAAAGAAGGCTGACCGTATAGTAGAATTGGATGGGCGAACCCTCCGGATACCATACCCAGCCAGTCTGACCAAAACAAGACCCTTCTCAGCTGACCAGCCTCCACCATCGAACGACAGCCAGTCGAAATGCTGCTGATTTCAATGCCCGAAATATACATACTCAGGAGCATGCACTCTGTGCCACGGAAGCTTCTTCCAAGCCGTTGCTCAGCCGCTCACCTCGCCAGCGGGGACGGTGGTCTTCTGGGTGACGAGCGAGCCCGCGGCGACCATGGCGCCCTTTTGGACTGTGACTCCGTCCAGCAGCGTGCTGCCCATGCCCACAAACGACTCGTCCTCGACCGTGCACGCGTGCAGGATGGCGTTGTGGCCTGCAACAGAGGGAAAGGATGTGAGAAGCAAAGAAGAGTTCATGTCCTTTTTTAAAGATTGGCGCCGTGCCCTGTAACGGAGGGAAAGGACGTGATAAAGGAAAAGGAGAGTCTTTTTTCCGAAAGAATGGCGTTGTGGCCTGCAGCAAAAAGGAAGGAGCTAGAGAAGGACGAAGAATGGTCTTCTTTCCATCAGATTGGCGTTGTGGCCTGCGGCAGAGCAAAAAGGTGAGGATCAAAGGCGCTAGATCCTGTTTTCATCACGTTGGCCAGCTCGGGGAGAGCTAACGACTGTGAAGCAATCTGTTGCTCGTCTTGTTCAGATCAGAAAGGCGTTTCTGGCCTGCAACAGAGTGACAGGGTGTGAGTGGACAAGAGAAGACTCCTGCTTCCGTCCAATTGGCGTTGTGGCCTGCAGCAGAGCGAAAGGATGTGAGAAGCAAAGAGGAATAGTCTCAATCTCGTCAGATTGGCGTCATGGCCTGCACCGAAGCGGGAATAGGTGGGAGGATACAGAATGATCCCGTGTTTTGGCGGGCAGCAGAGCGGATCGACCGACGAGACCGCATGCAAATCTTGTTGAAACCAGGATGACGTTGTTGCCTGCAGCAGAGCGAAGGAGAGTGAGGAGAAACAATGTTTCAACTCGTTGTTTTCCAGGTGATTGAGCTAGAAGAGAGTAGGCGGGTGTGCAGAAGAAAAAAGTTTTCTTTCTCAGAATGGTGTCATGGCCTGCTAGAGATAGGGAGAAGAGATTGTGCCACCTTTTCAAATTGGTCGCATCAAGTTTGAAACAGAGCGAACGGGAAATGATGTATACTGGGAGTCTTGAAAGATATAGGGGTGAATCGATAGGGGAAACTCGTCCAACAGCTGGCGATGCGATTTCGGGCCAAGAGCCCGGCAGAGGCAGTGAACGGGCCGAGAAAGGCATGCGTATGGAGTCGCTTGTGCCTGGTGAGAAATTGTTCGTATACAACAGACGTGCATACAACGAGCTGAATTTAGCTCTAGGCTTCAATTAACCAACAATTGCACGAGGGAAAGCTGTCTGACTGGGAGCAGAGCAGAAGAAGAAGTTGCACCTGGAACAGATCGCTCCTATTTGTACTCTAGTGACTGAAGAAAATTGGAGCTCTCAGGTGACCCCCCTCGCAGCCCGATCAGAGTGATTGCAATGAACAGCGATCTTCTGAAACTGACGGCCCCTGCAAGATAGGATCTTGCGCCGATAATATGAGTACACTGGTTCAACCGCCATCAAGGTTTGAAGGCAAGGCTCCGGTCTGCTCCGACAGACTCCCTAAAGCAGTGGGGCAAGAATAGTGGGGAAAAGGAAGAGGACTCACCGATGGTGACTTTGCTGCCGATGGTGGTCGGGAGCACGTTGCCGCTGATGTTAGTCTTGGCGACGTGCACAATGCTGCCGTCCTGGATGTTGGTCATGGCCCCCACCTTGATGCTGTTCACGTCGCCTGGAGAAAAAAAGGAGGAGTTCAGCAGCAGAAACATGTCAGTTGGACAGATTGACGAAAGTCAGAAAGAGAGCAGATTCTACTCAAGGAACAAAAACAGTAGACACTCTACTCAAGGGAACAAAAACAGTAGAGGCGGGGGGGGGAACTGCAGCTACCCTGAGGAGGACAGCAGACGTTCTTATTGTTGTCACTAACAAGCAGGGAAGAAGAGATGAAAATTAACAGGAAGCAACCGCTCTCTGTCCGAGCGTGCGCCTGGTTCAAGCGCAAATGAATGGGTGAGGATTGCAACAAATTAGCCTGCAGAGTCCTTTTGTATATACAGGAGAAAGAGCACAATCCCCATACTCACCTCGCAAGATTGCACCATACCAGATTGAGGACTTGGGCCCAACCTCAACATCCCCAATCACAGAAGCACTTGGGGCAACAAAGGTGGTGGAGGGAACATGAGGCTTCTTGCCCATCAGGTTCATGAGCGTCCGGTGCCGGGAGACTGCCGAGAGAAACGCAATTGTTCAGCGCCACAAAGGCCAGCGAAGCCGCAGATTGGGAGTGTCATTCTCTAGCTCAACGACTGAGAATCATTGCAGCCAGGACAGTCGCCTAAGCACAAGCAAAACCTCAACAATGCTAGCAAGCACAGGTGCAGAAGAAGTTATCAATTAGAAACTTCCTGAGTTTGTAGGCTTTTCCAGGAGCCCTGCCACCGGCCTTGACATACATTGACCGGACTCAATTTCCATGATGTTGCATCCAAACATCAACAGCATCATTTGCACCATTACCAAGATCAAATAAGCGGTGAATATGAGGGAGACATAGAAGATGTTACAAGGGCGCACTTGTCCAAGGAACAAGGCAAGATCGATTGAATCAGTGGCAGATTATAGATGTCCTGCGCAAATGCTAAATCCTTCCAAGCCAAATTAATAATGCACAGTGTAAATGCTGATCGTCCAGGCAATTTTGATCTTTGGCTTTACATAACCTATTGCTTCTGACTTATGAGCAGCAAAATCAACTAGAAAAGAATACCACAGAAATACTTTTGCTGAAGCAAAGAGGCCTGTACATTTTGCCGGCAGCTCGGTCAACACATATTCTGGTGAATCGAATGCAGCAAATGGCAGCGCCAATTGCAACTTCCTACAAGAATGATCTTCAAGTGGTCGAAGAAACGGCTTTGGCAGCATGCAAAAGCTGATACCAGGTGTTGAAACTCTGTGCTTGGTCTTTCTCCAGAGCTTAACAAAAATTACATTCAAGTGAAATGCTTATCACAGAAGACGGTGCATTCTTCAGAGCTTTGATACTCAGCAACCTAACTGCCTTTACATCGAGAGATCGGAGAGTGATGAAAGCTTTCAAAAGGGTATCAAAGCAGATTGCACACAAACATCTGTATTCCTGATGGCACGGCACGCAACAAAGCCCGCATATTGTTCATAAACTCAGACGTGCTTCAATGTTCCAGACATTTCGGAGCACATGAAAAAGACCAAAGGAGAGTTCTTGCAGATCCGCAGATTGCAAGGTACTCACGCTGCTCCTTGTATGCATTGGTGCCTTGCAAAGCACAACCCAGCCGATCAATGGCCTGGCCTGTCTCCCTGATCCAGAACCCAATGCTATACAGTGCTCTCCCAAGCGAGCCCATGGTCAATCAGGTGGCAACCGCCAATCAACTGGCTTCTGGCCTTGGACTAGATAAACCTCTGCTGATTGAGCGGACGCCTTCCTCTGTTGAACAATGTTCTACACTACCTAAAAAATGGTCGGTGGCACGCCCAAAGTTTCGTCCTGGTCAAGAGGGCAGTGATCCGGCCGCCTCCACATGCAGATGAGATATGAATCCAGTAGCCTCACTTCCAATCCAGATGGGAGAAAAACTTCGGGATCAAGCCTTCTGAGAAGGACGAAGGCCCCTGCAAGCTGACCAGGGGCCTGGGGCCACGGCTCCAGCTACCTATACTCGAGTATGCAGCACTGCCAACTTGAACTGGGCTTGCGGCAGCCGGTCTGCAGAAGCATCCTACGCCGGTGGATACCAATCGAGCTGATCGGACGATTAGCGTCAATCAGGCTTGCTGCGTGACTGCTTGTCCGTCGGTAAATCTTGGATATATATGGACGGTCTCCAGCTCAGTCTTGGTCACCGGCTTTAGTGCAACAACGATCCGATCGCGATGTCATTGCCAATGCATTTTTTCAACCTACCAGGCCTACCTAAATGCAGTATACGATATCGAGTGCGCAAGTCCCACATGGAAACCAATCCTTAGAAGCTCTAACACACACAAGACCGCTTTGGCGGCAGCGCCAGCAAATGACCGCAAAGCCGAGTAGGTCGAGTTCTGCCGGAGGAGGCTTCACCACCGAGTATATCGGGGGTATATCCCTGCCTTAATTCCGGTACTCATTCGACTTTGTAATGATGCATGATACGTTGAGTCGACCACTTGCTAAGTTGCTGATTCAAATGGTGGATCCTCATCAAGGCTTCAGTGTCTTTATGCGTGGAACGGCCCTACTGAAACGAATGTCAGGCCGATTTGAGTGAGATTAAGTGTGCACACCTTCTGAGCTCGCGCATGGCTACCGCAAAGCATTTAATCGTTACACAAGATATCCGCGGGCACTTAGCTTGCAAAAACTGAGGCTGGAATACTCAATGTGTCCGCTTGACTCGGTCCACTGCCGCTTCCTCTTCTCTCTGCACCATTTCTACTTCCCCTGTCCTTGCCTTAGCCCCTTGCACCCCCTCTTTCGCTCTCTCCACCACCTCCGCGGGGGGCTTTGGCGGACCGGGCGCAGTCTGCGCAACCGTCTGGCCCAGCGTGCTGGAGCGAACCTTGCTCCCCTTGGTGGCTAACACGACCGACTGGCCGCTGTGCGTGATGTGCAGCACGGCCGGGGGCTTGCTTGGATCGCAGGGTTGCACCCACGGTTCGCCGTCCATTTGCAAGTACGCGCGCGGGGCGCGCTCCCCGTGCAGCTCTACCACCAACGCGTGCGCCTGCACCAGCAGAGAAGGCATTCTCGAATTTTCTGGGAAGCAATTTTAAGTGAATCTCGACATCAATTTTGGAAGGAGCAGACAAAGGATGCATACATTGAGAGGTCCTATGAAAAGGAATAAGGAGCGGGCAATCTTGGTAGTAAGCTTGACCTTCTAATCAAGTAAGCTTGTGGGGTTCTGCGGATTGGAACATGCTCCGCTGTGCGCTGACCAGCAGTCGGCCGCATATGGCTCTCTCGTGTGATGTACAGCTGTCCTCGTAAGACTTCCCATCGGTTTCAAATGCTCGGAGTGTGGTCTCTGATTCTGGACCGTATGTGTGGTCTTTGATCGATAATGGAATAGCATCCGACGCCTCACATTCTGCGGACCACAAAGTCGCAAGTTGAGATCGTTGGGATGGCACTATTGACACAAAGAGCGGTGTAATGCTGCAACTAACCTGCACGAGTCGGCGCCCGTGCGCGGCCTTGGCCATGACGGCCGCGGTGTGCCAGCCGTCGGTGAAGGCCACGACCTCCAGCAGGCCGTCGTCCACCGTGGCAGGAACGAAGCCATGCTGCACAACCACCGGATCATGCCACGTCAGCACCAGGTCGTGGCATGACACATCTTATCGCAAAACGTAGCGGCCAGGGTGAGCCAGGATTAGGCGAGTGGTGCTTTGCGGACTCTCTGCTGCAGGCTCCTCCAGCCCGTGTGCAAATTATACAACCATACTCGATGCGAGTCGCTTCCTCGTATTCCAATTGCAGCTCAGAGTCGGTATGGTTTTCTATCATTCCCCACTTGATCGAGTCCTAGCCAGGAAGGTCTGGATATCTGCAAATAACCGACTGTCAAGACGAGCAGTACCTAAGCTCCGCCCATCCTATGTTGGTGAATGATAGACGAGGCTACACGACTTTGAGTCAACCCAAAGGCTCCGCCAGGGGTAGGGCTGGGGCATACCTTGGCCTGTTCACTGCGGCTTGGGTGGCCCCAGGGGTCTCGACCCCCAGCGTAGCTTTGTAGGTTCAGCACCACCACCGCACGAACGCTGCATCCAAGCAGCATTCTTACTCACGTCAGCTGCTAGCAAGGTGGGACTTGATTAGCCGCTCGGCCCTCACGATCCCGGAATTTTCATGCCCAGATTGATTCGAGCTGACAACTGGACCTTTCTAAGTGACATTCGGATGCGATTTAAAGAGAAACGGGAGAACCGGGAGAACCCTACGCCTAGGCAGTTTCTTTGCAAGAAGCGATCTTGGCAGGGAGTAAAGCGGGGCTCCTGGCACGGAGATTGGAGCGTCCGATACATTCAGAGCGGTCGAGCGATTTAAAAAACACGTGATCGAGCCGGTGGATACTGACAAAACGACTGCCTCGCTGCAAATGAGTGTCGCGAGATGGCAGTTCCGCAACTGAGAGGGCTATGCCTAGGATGAGAAGACGGGGCTCACTTGGAGTTGAGTTCCAGTGGGTGCCACACGCCGTCCTTGCTGGCATACTGGATGCGCGCAACCGCGGATACATCGCTGTACCAAAACGGGCGCCCGTTGAGACACCCTGCGCGATGTTTTCAATCCGCCGCAATCTTCTGTAAATTATAGCGGAAACGAGCGGATGTACTGACCATCACAACAGGCTCTTAGGGCACTTCGCACCGCAGCAATACCACCAAAACCGGGTCTCCATTTCGCAGCAAGCATTCAATCTGCTGAGAGCGGCAGTGCGGGGCTTACTGTGGGGAACAGGAGCAGGGCAGACAGAACCAGCCCTGTGCGCAGCCGTAGTAGCCGTACAAGCCCTGAAACGCCCACGAAGCAGAGACACGGCCGTCAGATCACGGACCCTCGAGCCTAAGCCGCTGCCCAATCGTTGACACAACCTTAAGGCAACGACCAGAAAATTAGGGGATGTCATGCCAATCCGAACCGCCCACGTGGCTGTCCAGTGAGGTGTGTCGCTCTGATTCCTACCTTTCAGTCGATAATAAAATACAGAATTAGCTGCCACGCTGGCGCTTCCTCGAACCGAAGCCTTTCCGATCGATGCGACCCTGGCACCATATTTTCTCGCACTGCCATGTGACATCCCACCAGCCAGCAACAAGATGCACGTGTACCACGCTGTGCACAAGCGCATTTTGAAATGCGTCGACTGAGCGGCAGGGCAGGAGGGAAGATAAACCTACGGCGCACCTGATTGACCTTGCGGCCGCGCGCGAGCCATGGCTTGCGCTCGCGCAGGTGGTGGAAGGCGTACGCAGTGTGGGCGTCCATGCCTGCGTGTGCAACGAACACGGGGGCTAATGCAAGCAGAAGTCTAGCCGAAGGGCGGATTCATCGACCTTCATCAGGAGAACTCTTCGTCAACTGACCGTTGAGTCAATTGGTTCTAAAACAATCTCCTCGACGCAAGAGGTGCCACCAGAATATGACTTTATCGACTACCCGTTTTAGTCACCAACTGTTGATTCAAGCACTATCATGCCAACACTCCGAAGCCTCTGGAGCGAAAGGCCGCCCGGTTCTGAAAGGGGGTGGTTTGTGGACAGCGCTCCAGCTAAACACTGTGCTCAGGCACCCGCAAAGGCCTCACGAAGGGAAGGGCGAGCGGCTCGGCACAACTGACCTAGGCGAAAGCGATGTGGAGACGAACCGGACATCACGCCATACTTCGACAATGCACACAAGCAATGGCTCCTCGTAACAAAGGGCCAGCGCCTCGGCATGGCTGACCTAAGCTGAAGTAGTTCCAAAAGCCGCCACGGAAGCCCTCCACATCGGTCTGGCCCTGGTGGTGGGAAAGGGGGTGAGAGGTTGGCTGCAGCTGATGGGGGTGCAGCGCATGGGGGAGAGACAGCGGGGCCGCATCTGCGGGGAACAGCTCCACGCGCCAGCTGCAACGTGCAGCGGAGCAGCGCGTCAGAGGTCGGCGAACGAGACTGAGGCTTGCATTGCTTTCAACCGTAAAAGAGGATCACGAGCAACTAATGGAAGAGCAAGATTAGGAAGCCTCAAACGGAGGGGCAACGAGCAAAAGACTCAGGCAGTAAGCGCTGGCGAAAGGCAAGGTCGCTCAAAGATAAGGTGCTTGAGTGTGAGTGAGAGAACGCACTCACTTGTCCATGAGAGAGGGGGTCGCCTGTGCAACGCGCTGCAGGTAATTGGCCAGGCCAGGCGGGCGCGGTAGAGAGAACGACCCGCCCTATATACAAGGCAACGGAGGCGATTGAGTGAAAGCGGGTATATCGAGTTCAATTGGCTAGGAAACATACAAGCATGCTTAAAGATTGCAAACACGCTTGGAGTCCACAGGGGTGGCATCGCCAAGATTCCCTGTGCCACCAATTTGGAGAAGCTTTCTGACCGCAGAAAAGTGCTTCCTCCCTAAGCAGGATTCCCGGCTCCTGAAGCGGCCAGAGAGCATGATCGAATTCACTTGGTCTTCGAATGAGGCATGGCGTGCGAGACTCACCCAGCCAAAGGTACGAGACAGGTCGTTTCCTGTGCCCAGCGGGACGACCGCAACGGGCGGGGGCCGTTCCAGGCGCAGCGCCTCCAGGCTGGCCAGCAGCCACCCCACAGTGCCGTCTCCACCACACACCTGCACCCCACACCGACTCCCTCACGATCACTTATGGAGATCACGATTATGGACTCAACCGTAGTTGCAGGAGATGTTACAATGGTCATCTCTGCCGGATGGACGCACTTTTGCAGCCAGCTTCTCGCCAGCGTACAAAAACAGAGTCAGAATGAGGCGAAAGTGGAACCGCGAATCTGATAGAGGAGGGGGCAGTATTGATGCGAGGGCGGGCCTCACCAGGATACGCATGGCGGTGCGGGTGGCGGCTGCAGCAGCGTTCCCAGCATTCACCTGCGCATCGAGGCGCTGCAGGAGGGTGGCCAGGATGGGGCCCGGCGGGTTCACTGAGAGGTCGAATACCTGCATCCGGGGGTAAAGCGAGCAGCTTAGCAGGGAGGAGGATAGACGGGGACGAGTGTATCAAGAGCACCACGGGAGAGTCCACTTCACGAATAGAGTTCCACGTGAGATTCAATATCAAAGGCCCTTCGAAACGTAACTCTGGTATCTGCCCTCAAGTCTTCGATCCCGTCTATCTTGAACCCCAGTTCCAAGACCGTCTTCATGGAAGTGCCTGTCCATAAAATCAATGCTGATTCGGGCTCACCTGACTCTTGCCGAGCAGCTTCTGGAACCCTGCCAGCAGCGAGGGCCCCACCCGGCCCCCGCTCTTGGAGTTGATGAACACCAGCAGCGGGTGCACTGCTGAACCACTGTCGCTTGCGGCTGCCTCTGTGCCGTTGGTCGCCTCAGTGGTTACTGTGGCTTCCATGGCCGCAATCGCTGCGTCTGCATGGGCGCCCAGGCTCTGCTTGGAGAGAGACAGCGCAGGGGATGCTCTAGGACCAGCAGTGCCAACATCCCGCTCAGTGGGGTTCGCATTGTCAGCAGGAAGCTCAGGGAGGGGTGCAGTATCGGTGGTCGAGCCAGGGGGCGGGAAAGTATCAGCGGTTTGGCCAGGGGGGGGTAAGTTGTCAGCCATAGAGCCAGAGGGGGCTGCAGTATCAGCGGTCACGTGAGCAGGGTTTATAGGGTTAATAGTTGAACCGGGAGGGGGTGTAGGATCAGCAATCGGGCCAGCAAGATGTGCAGTGTCGCCAGCAGAGGAGGGGGCAAGGGCGCCTTCGGGAATTGGTTCAACCGTGGTGGCAGGCAGAGAGCTCATCTCGACGCCATTGGGCCTTTCTTTGGGGCGCACATCTGTTGCATCAGCCTCTGGGGGCGTGCTTGACGTGTCCATCGTAGATTCTGTGGGGGAGTGCGTGGCTGCCGAATGAACCAGATCCACTCTGAGCGAGGCCCACAGAGTTCTGGTCAGGTTCAATGAAGGCGAGGGAGGCTTCTACAGTGACCTTTTTCAAAAACCTGGCGCATCACCCTGCAGAAATAGGAAACATGCAATCGAAGCGGTTCTGATTTGATACTGACTTTTGTGGAACCTTGAAGTCATGATAAAATTGTCAAGATGAGTCCTCAATACGGTGTCCTTAGCTTCCGATGCTACTTACCAGGACCATCAGTGATCCCCAGGCTTCGTGTTAAGACTTTCACCGGGTCCTTGATGTCTGAGCTGCAACAGTGGTATCACAAAATGGGCAAAATGGCGGCCCCACCGACTCTTGCATGCATTACATCTGCTCGTCTGTTCTACTTCGCGGAGCATTTTTTCCTTTTCGCTGTCCCTGCTTTGCGCCTTAGGCTTAGCGCAATGATGATCAATCCTATCGGCACTTCTGCGAGCGGACAGCTTCGGTTAAAAGAGCGAGATGACGCCATTTGTATTAAAGCAGTGGCAGTGGCCCCAGAACTTGATTGAAGTATTCCCGCTCTCTGCCTAAAATGTGAGATTCAAGGGCCTCCATGCCAGTGCACGACCTGCTAGATACAAAGTGAAGGAATGTCCAGAAAGGCATCTGCGCATTCAGCTTTGCAAATGCAGCGGCCAAGGCAGAGGTGCTTGGCTGTTTCCAGAATTCTAGATCACACTCACCCTGCTCCTCATAGCATTACGGACCAGCTTGATCGCAGTTCAATTGTTGATTTGCTCCGCTGGTCCTGCTGATGCACAGTGCAATGCTGCACACCGCCCTTGAGGATAGCTCGCTCATGGTCGATCATTTTTAGCTCACGAGACCGCAGCTGAGCTGGCCAGCTACAGCCAAAATCAGAAATCAGAAGCCCCGAGGCTGAAGGGTCGAATCTCATCAGGACAGTACGTCAGAAGCAGTGGTGCCAAACAGTGCAGCAAACAAGGGAAGCAGAAAGGAAGCTAGGCCTTGACACCACGTGTTGGCCTACAGGCTACAGGCAGAGGGCGCAAGCACCCAGGCAAAATAATTGAGCTCCAGTCGCGAGCAGACCATAGGCCCTAGGGGCTCCACCGCGGGGGTGTCCACAAAATTTTGCAGGCGTCTTATATGGTATTTTAGCAACATTTTGCACCGATTTTTGGGTCCGCCCGGCCGGTGGAGCCTCTGGTGTCGTTTGAAGAGTGGACCCATGTCTGCGTTTACCAGCTAAAACTCCTTTTTTTGGCTGTTGAGAAACATGGTCAGCTAGCACCAGAATTTGGCGGAAACCTTTTGAGAGCATCAGACAACATATTGGAGCACTTTCGAACTTGTGGGCACCTGAGAATGCAAGGACCCGTCCACTTACAATTCTGCTCGCACGAGGATTTTGCCTGGTGCTTGCGCCCTCTGGCTACAGGTTTGCATGGAGCGACACAAACCGAGCCCTGGCACCCGCTCCGACTTTCAGATGTCAATCGCGTCAACATGTCCTTATTACGTGCCCCCATGACACTAAGTTCTGTACCGTCGCCGACAATGTTGGCACTGACTCTGAGCGGTGCCCTGCTGATTTGTTGGTCCGCGCGCGCCACATGTCATTCGGACTCATTCCGAGTGCAGTGCCAATATTGCCAATTGGTGACGTGCCAGGGACTGTCACAGGCGCTGCAGCCTGTGGCAGGCTGCCGGCGAGCAAACACGGGGCCATCCGATTCCTATTCTCCGATCCTGATCTCTGAGTCGACAGCAAAGCCAGGAAACCTGCGACGCAACTCACGCGTGGCGCCCTCCTTGTGCCTCACAAAGCACTTCTTCAATTGTGCACGGACGCCCCAGCAATGGAGGCCGCGGCGCTTGTCAACAAGGTGACCCTCCCTCATGTTGCCGTGCGCTCCGCGAATAGGAATCAAATTGCCGCCCGGGGCAAGGAGAGACCGTTATCGTCCTTCCTGTGCGGAGGATGCCTGAAGGCCTGGCGGCAGGCCCCCCTGCAAGCATTGAAAGCACCTCTTTCCAGACTTTCAGAATTCAACCAGAGCACTAGGCCTAAAAACGTTCGCAGAGTGCAAGCCTCGGCTGTGTTGTCAGGCAATGGGGTTTCGCAGACCCGCCTTAATCCAGTTATTCCGGTTTTGCACAACGAGAAGGTAGAGACCGTGCACAACAAGGAAGGGCTAGAGAAAATCCTTGAGGAGGCAAAAGATCATCTTGTCGTTGTCGAGTATGGAACCAGTGAATCTGACTCAGTTCAGCAGATGCATCCGGCATTAGTTAGCCTGGCCATAAGCTGCCCCGACGTGAAGTTTGCCCTTGTCCTGGGGGATGAGAGCGAGGAGACTGAGCTCCTTATGGACGAGGCCGAAGTCAAAACAGTGCCACACTTTGTGTTTTACAAGTGAGCACCCTCGTCTTACCTCTTCTTGGTCTCTGACTCTGTTTACAGCCCTTGTTAGTGGTTCTCTCGGCTCTTGAAAGGTTGGTCTCTGCTCCCTGGCTTGTGCATGTTCCCTCTGGCAACAGGAACAAGCAAACTACTGGGTAGGTATTCTATGTACTCAATCCAGTGTGTATCCCACCTACGAACACAATTCATGTTTCTCTGCTTGGTTTCCGGTACGCAACTTCTTTCCTTTCTTCTATTTCGTTCTGTGTTGCCTACTTGACAACTTTTCTTTTGTGGCCGGGCCCTTCTTTTCTTACGAGGTTGTTGGTTTGATCTCTGACCGCCAGTCACAGGCAGACTCTATTGTTCAGCCAGATGTTTTGATTCTTCTGCTCAACTCTTCTATGCAATAGCTTCTTGCAGCCTCTGTCAACAACTTGAGGACTTTCAAGGGTTTGTCCAAGGGTTTGTCTAACTATTTATAGGTAACTCGTAAAACTCTTCTACTCAGTTGTCCAGATCAAACCAGTGCAATCTAGAGCTTTTTCAAGAGTGGATACAGAAGCCTGAACTCAAGCAACCAGTCAAATTGGTTCAATCGCATCTTTGAAGATATCGTTGCTTGGAATTTGGAAATTTGCACACCGTTTCAGGGACGTGTTCAAATTCTTGTGCGATGGCAGCCTGGTTAATCTGCCTGCGCTGGTTCGACGTCCCGATTCGAGGACCATCTGAGGCCTTCAAACGCTTTGGTTTGGGCCTCTCTATCTTCCTTGAGATAGATTGAGATTGTAGCCAACAGTTGACAACATGCACTAGGTGATCTGGTTTGCCAAACAAAATCAGACAGCATTTCTATCATTTTGCAACATCGTCTCTTTCAAAGGGTGACTTCTGCATTGCTGGTTTAGGATTGGGCCATCCCAGGCTCAGATGGGTAGTAACGTAGTCCAACGGATCATTCCGAACAGATATTTCCAGTAATATTTTTCCAACAATCCGACCAGGAATGTGGAATTATGTATGCGGTTTCCGACCAGAATCCAAGTGCCCTAAGTTAATACTTGAAGAAGCATCTTAGGGCTGATTTGGGCAGTTTTCTGCCTTCCCAGGACCATTTCAGATTTATTTAACCTTTCCGATTTTCCACTTTCCGAACGGGAAATTTGAATTTCTGACTTTCCGACTGCAAATAATCATTTATTTATTCGGATTCATTACCTCAGACTACGGCACTGGTTATGTGTAAGCTGACCAGCTTCTCCTGCTTGCCTAAGCTCATGGGTTTCCTTTCAACTACTGAGCTAAACCTTGGGCCACATATCACTCCTATTGTAAAGCCAGACGATTGTGCCCTTCCAACCTTCCCTGATCGCACCCAGTAAGGTGTTCAACAGTTATAGTTTGGAGAGGTGACGAGATTCTTTGACCACTGACCAGGTTGGGATAGAGGTTGTCGACCAGATGGAGATGCAGGCTCTGTAAGCTGTGCAAGCGTGGCATTCATTCATCCCGGTAACACATTTCGAAGTCAATTTTGCTGACTAACTTTCTCTTCTGCTTGACCGATCGATCAGAGTCCATCAATTGCACAAGCGGCTATCCACTATTCCTGACTATTTCTTTGTCTGCATAGTCGCTAATCATCGTCCCTTCAATAACAGGAATGGTGTGAAGATCCACGAGGAGACTGGGATCAGCGAGGACATGTTGACGGGAGATGTGCTATACTATGGGGACACGAGCAGTCAGGTGGTGGACATTCACAACCAGGCAGACCTGGACCGGCTACTGGACAACTCGGGGGACAAGCTGATTGTGCTTGACATGGGGCTCAAGTACTGCGGGCCTTGCGTGAAGGTGAGGCAGGGTAGAACGTAGTCCTGGCTGATGTTTTGCAGAAGAGGTTGTTTTGTTTCAGGGCTGCGTAGCATACCAAGCAGTGCTTCTGGTAGGCGGAGTCGGGGGGCCTGCGTAAAGGTGTCATTGTCATTGGTTTCAGGCTGGTTTGAAGCTCCTCAGTATCGTAGGACTGCGGCAGTGTCTTGGGCCCATATTGTACGTTCACGAGACTATCCTTCTCGCATTTTGTTTGGGAGTATCCTCTGCAATCAAATTGGATCATGCAGGAGTGGCACTCAGCATCTGAAGCGATCTTATGGAGCTGGAGACGGAGCCTTTGAGGCTTCCACTCAAAAGACTGAGCACATCATAGCAACCCGCAGCACACCAGTCTCCCCTGGCCTTTGCAAGGCTGTCTTCTATTATCTCTGTTGAACCCTCGTACTTGTCCGGCCTTGTTTTAGGTGGCCAGTCCTTGTACCCTGTTTACTCACCCCATAAATCGGGTTTTGTGCGGCAGGTATATCCCACGGTTGTCAAGCTGGCCCGGAAGATGGCCGGTTTTGCCGTCTTTGCCCGGGTGATGGGGGACGAGAACGAGTGGTGCCAGGAACTTCTCCAGCGGAACAAGGTGCTCGAGGTGCCGACCTTCATTTTCCTGAAAGATAAGAAGCAGCAAGCGAGATATGTGGGTTCGTCTCGGGGCTCGTTGATTGGGGAGATCTTGAAGCTGCAGGGCTTATGCCAGTAGATTTAGGACTGCCAGGCGTAGCCTTAGAACTAGTTGATCTAGAAATCAACAACAGATTAGTCGTTGCATCTGAGCTCGACAGGAGGCTAAAATACGATTATTTCATGGGCTTGATGCACCCGTCAACCGGGTTGCAGTCAAGGTCATCTGTAGTGGCAGGTCTCGTTGATTGGCAATAAAATCTGATCGGAAGCAGTCACGATCTAGTTGCTTGTAGCTAGGGGCCTCAAGTGGCCAGCGCGTGTGTTTTAGCATTGAAGGGGCTTAGCGCCTGTTAAAGGCTTGTCATGAACATTCACAACACTGGCCTATCAATGCACTTGTAAAGCTTTGTCAGTCTTGCTGCCAGTGCATACCATCCGCCTGTTGGCAGAGTTTTTGGGTCTCAGACGGCTCGGTGCAGTATTTTTGATTTGACGTACATACATGTGCATGTGATCACATATCCCTCCATTGTCAATCGCGTGGTGCTTTGACGTGTGGCGTGTGTAGTTGATTCATTTGGACAGCCCCGGAGCCAGCGTTTGATGCCATCCGGGTTGTAGTGCAGAAAACTGGCACATGTATTTTACCACTGAGATCGAATGGTCAGTATATATACATGCTAATTGACTGCAAACTGCATATGTGCATGCAAGCCTGTCACCAGCCAATGGCCATCAATTGGACATGCAGGACAAGTTGCACTGAAGCAAGTGACCTACATGCGCCTAGCTAAAAATTGCAGCTTTGCTCAATGCATGTCAGTGGCTCAGGTTGAGGATATAAAAGCAAGTCACCAGCTAGCAAGGTTGTAAAACATGCTGTAAGAGCTGTTGAGACCGGATCCACATTCATTCTGGCCGGCCAACATCGTTGCGCATGGACGATTCGATGCTAGTCATGTGAAGAGTTAACCAACGCTTTCGCGCGTACTTGGGATGGCAGTTGAATCTGCATGGAGCCGTACGGCTTCGCTAGCCTTCATCTAGATAGATCAGAGTTCTCCCGTTTCGGGAACATTGAATGTCGACACAGACATCCACTTCGATCAACAAACAGACACAAGCGAGACACGTGACTCTCCGTTACGTGCTCTGCCGACTCGCCCGTCGCACCGCGCCGCCCTTGCTCGGCGACCTGGCCCCTTGGTCCGGCCAGCTTAGTGGTCGCCCGTCGTCCCTCCGCTCCTCCCCCCCGTCTCGATGCCCCAATAGTTCCCTCAGCATCCGTTCGGCATCCACTTGCACGACCCCCTCCATCTCCTCATCCGACGCCGCCATCAGCTGCTCAAACGACAGCGCTTCGTACTCTTTCTTCTTCCGCTCCTTTTTACTTTTCGACTGTTTCAGCTCCTTCCGTTGCTCCCTCAGAACCGCCCCCCCGTCGCTGCTCCTCCTCGGTTCACCGGGCGCCCGTCTCGCCCCCGACCCGCCATCCAATTCGATTCTCGTCCCCGCACCCCCCAGGCTGACGCACCGCCGCCCGTTGCTGACGTCACCGTTCGTGGACACGTGGCCGTTGGCCGGCCGGTCTCGCCGCCCCTCTGAGAAAAAGTCGTCCAGTTCGCTCGACAATATGGAGGACGTCTGAGAGATGCGCCGCTCGGAACGGGCCCCGGTCACAGAGGCCTTGTCTTCCAGCCGCGCACCTGAATCAGAGCCGCAAATCATCACGCATAAGCAAGAAACAGGGCCTTTCCCCAGGCACAGATTGTTGGTAGCCAATGATCGTAAGAAAGTCGCTCGTCAGGAGGCAACACCTCAACACCTGTTCAGCGGCAACTGACCATGGTTCAGAATATGACTGGAAGCAGTCGTTGAGTATTGCGTCATTTTCTTTCATCGCTTTTTCTCTCTATGTAGACTTCCGTCGACCGAACGTGTCTCAGGGCCACTTTCTCAACACATGACCTGACAAGTCTCGATTAAGCAGACATTAAGTCTGCAGTTTGACCCACGTCACACCCCCAACGTAAGAGCCTACCTTACGTTAAAGCTTAGATGGAACTCGATATGCACCGGATCGGCGCCAATAAGGTGCCCGGAAACCAAACTTGGCTTATCCTAGGGCTAAAGGGGCCGCATCCTCTCAAATCGGGGACAGGAGAACTGCACCGCAAAGAAGCTGAGCCTGGAGTTCGTTTAAAATCTAGGGACATAACCGAATTCAAGGGTTCAATATCTGGCCGTCCGGTTCGGAGGCTGCCCGACCGTTATGAGACGTGCAGAATCCAGATCGATAAATGTACTGTCGATCTGAGATTGATTGGCTGATGCCACCAGATTCCGACCGGCCCCAGCCTCAGCCCCTATCCGGTACCCACTCACTGTGTATCCCACTTGATTGTCACATTCGGAAGTCCATTCTCCAACAAGCTGTCCTGAACGCAAAAGAATTTACTAAAAGATCCGAACCAGTGACTTACACCAGAAAATCATGATAGAGAGTGCTTTTGGGGACTCACTCGCGATGCGCTCCGCGACGCGTTCGCCCTGCACGATCGAGCGCAGGCGCGCGGCGGGCGTGTGCGCCTCCGCGCTGGAGCCGAGCGCGAGGCGCGACATGACGTATGACATCAGCTCCTGCTTGTTCTCAAACGTGAAGTCCAGGTGCGCGAAAGCGAACTCCTTGATCGACACCTGCGAAGAACGGATTTATCTACTTAAGCAGCTGTGTAGGGACGAAACGTGCGGTGTTGCCGCCATTGTCGGGAGGCCCAGGTGCGGAAAAAGAAGTCCTTGATTGAGCCCTGCCAAGACCGGAACGGCGTCGATGCGCAGCTGTGCTTCGGACGAGGACGCAGAATAGGAGGCGCTGCGGCGGGTGAAGTTTGTCGATGAACGTGAAGTCCAAGTGCGTGAACGCGCAAGTGCTTGATTGACGTTTGCGGCGAAGGAGGCGCCAGCCTTCGTTGACAGATCGGCAACTGATCCGCAGTTGCCTCCCATTTACGGATTGTATATCATCGACTAACCAGTTCTTTGAGAAGTTTGTTGCCAAGTAACGAGGAGACGGCTGATGGGGCGAAACATTTTTAAAGGGCTGTGACAAGAAGCTGTGAGATTGGATGACGGGCAGATGCGAGAAAAGAGTCGCAATATCAGTGTGCGGGTCAGTGCTTTCCAGGAAACTCTCTTCTCCAGCCTGGTGCACGCACTCAATGAAAGAAAGGATCACACGCGCCAGATTACATCTCATCTCAAGGAAACACCGGGAGAGAAAACAAGACCCTCCTTACAGGTGGTCATAAACCAAAGTAAGAAGATCAAAGCGAACACGCGCGCACCTCGACGCCGTTGCGGCGCATGTTGTTGTAGTGCTTGTAAATCATCTCCGCCGGGATGAGCCCGTCCTTGGTCCCCACCACCAGATCCACCGGGATGTCAATCAGGTTGTAGTGCGCGCCGATGTTGAGCGGCGCTGCCGTACCGTACCGCCGCAGGTTTTTAGCACGCCCGTAGTCGAACAGCTGGAACCGCTTATACTGCACGTTGGGGGAAACATCAGGTCAGAGTGCAAGAGAAGGATACCTTCCGGTGACGGGTAAACGACCTCCCGTTTGCGAAAGCACGGGAAAAAGATGTTGAGCGGCAAGACTGTGTCGTATGTCTGCAGAGTCTTGGGACGCCCGTAGTCGAATAGCTGGAACCGCTTGTACTGCAACGGCCTAAGGAAAGTCGTTGACCAGGAGCAGAAGAGACGATGAGAGGAATAGACTTCGTTAAAAAAATGCCAGGGTGAGAAGGATTCACCAAACACTCAAAAATGTCGTCTCAACATGCATAGAAGGTGTCCGCTGCGAAATGTTGGTGCGATTGCAATCGGCCAGCACAAAACCAGGACCCTTTTCAAAGGCATCAATCAGAGTAAAATACTTCTCCCAGAATTTTTGACACAATTGTCCGCGCTCACCCGTTTGCACTGGCGCAGGTGACTCGCGAGGTATGACTGCACTAAGTCCTTGTTACGGAAGCAACATTCGACTCCCCTTCAGGGGAGTTGAGAATTCGAGATTCTCAATCCTTCCCTCCGCATTCATCAGGTCGGCTTGTCTGCGCTCACCCATTTGCACTGGCGCAGATGGCTGGCGACCATGAAGGCAATGCCGGGCATGTTCTGGGCGCTGTAGTGAGGCAGCTCCAGCGCGTCAATCCAATTGCTGTCGTCGCCCCCCAGGATGAACGTCCGGATCAGAACCTGCAGACACTTAGGCACACCGTTGAATGAGCCCGTGGCGGTGTGCGAATTGTCAAGTTGACCAAGCACCATTTACTGCACTTTTTCAAGCTAATTTCCTATATGCAGGATGAACGTCCAGATCAGAACCTGCGGGCGACGCACACCGCTGGATGAGCCACGAGGCGCTGAGTAGACGATTGGTGTAAACGAGCGCCGCTTATTACGTTCTGTCGATTGCCAACCTGCCTTGTTACCTTTTATTCGGGGACCATCCGTGAAGATGAGGGCTTGCAAAACGAGGGACGTACTGCCAGGCCAGGTGCGAAAGGAATACGTTACAAAGTTGACGTGAAAGGACAACAAAATATCAAATGTCCAACTCTTGAACAATACAGTCAACACGATGAAGCGCGCGACCAAATCAAAAGAAAGCGGCCTTCACAAGAGTTGCCACCGCGGACCAAGGTTTCCGAGACCAGGGAAATGGCTGCTCGTCCATCAAGATCTAAAAGCACTCAGGATAGTGACGCAGCACTCTGAACTCGAAGTCCAACCTGCAAACGGTGGATTATCAGAACGAGGACATCAAACGCGACTTTGGCAGAGGCATTGAGGAGGACCCCAAAACAGCGTCTGATCCGACCATATCTGACTCACTTTGAGCTGGATGCTCAAGTGCTTGGAAATCGTCATGGCCGCTCTGTGGTGTCTCTCAAAGCCGTTGCGGTCTTGCAGATCGCACACTGAAGAGGCGAGTATAAGGGCACGGCCAACTGGTGAAAGGGGGGCGGAATGTCCAGGGGGGCTTATTGGCGTGAAAAGTGGCGATACCGTCTACAGGCATCGAAGCTGGCGGGACAGCTTTGTCAAGACTTGCGGACAGAAGTGAAATTATGTAGAACCACCTGCTGTCTCCAAAACGAAAGGGGTGTTGTTGCATCGTGCATGCCATCAGATCGCCGCAATCGAGGTCACTCCAGAAAATCTTTCTCCATACGCTTCTCTTTGCTAAAACGCGTGTGTTGAGGACTGGCGGCGTCGTCATATCCGAGCAATCGAACCAAGAGCTCGATCTGCACTACTATCATTGCCGCGCTCCTCTCTCCGAGTAGACGTGCAGCGATTTTGAGAGAGCTTTCGGAAAGCAAGGCAATAAAGGAAGAGAAGGAAAAGCACATATAGCAAGGGTCGCGTGGCTCAGATTCGAACATACGAGAATTGGGATAAAACGAGGTTGGCAAAGGAAAAACTTCTCAACCAGACACAAAGGTACACGCCCTTGGTTGCTACCACAGCGTTGGCCAGAAAGGAGTGGCAGCGCAAATCCAAACCTTGCTGTACGGCTGAACATTCAATATGGAAGGCGGGCAGAACTTTAGTACATGGCAACTGTGCTTTACAAACCAAAACAGGAACGAGTTGAGCTTCTGAAAGAAAGCTTTGACGAAAGGTGGTACGATGTAGAGAACTCGCCGGAAGTGCGTTGCCAGGCTAAATTCGAACTCCGACAGAGTATCTTGTGCAGGATTGACCAACCGCAGGAAGCTTCGGGTACACCACTCGGTTTTTTGAGGGCTCATTTCACGATATGCAGGAACTTGTGAAGATCATCAAGAGCCTAAGCAACCTAGAAACAGGTCGTTGTTGTCAACTGGAGACTTTCCCTCTTCCAGAGTGTGCATCCGATAAGGATAGCCACAAACGGGTACCGGCGCAAGCACCGGGGAACCGCTCAGGATGCAACTGTTCACTCTCTACTGCCGTGTTGGTTGCACTATCTAATATACCCTAATGCGGTTCGAAATTTCCCAGGGCGCACACTTTTAATTGCGACGGTAAGGGAGGGCAGTTACGTGAGATTGGCCACAGAAAGGAAGGCTCCAGACGCAATCCAGCAGTCCAGTGCACTAAGGTGAAGCCCAATACAATAGGCCGAAAACCCCGAGGCGCTACAATCAGCAGAAGCTGGCTATAACGCGTTTGCAAACTGCTACGATAGGCAGAAGCAAGTTTTACTATGATTACGCAACTGCCGATTCACAATCGGCAGCATTGTCAAAGACCCGGGGACCAGATTGTGGTGCCAGCTGATGACGTAATTGGCAAATCTTTCCCGTACAAATTTCGCCTCCCACGGGGCTTCAAGATGCAGCTAGGTGACTGAGCAGAAAGCTCGTACCTCGAAAGTCCTCTTTGCCCCGCTTCGCAGGTCGCTTGCAGGTCGCAAGCTACTGCGACTGCTCCCAGAAGAATTGCGGCAATATTGACCTCACCACCTCGACCAACTGAATTGGTAAGATACAAGACTCATCGGCACGGAGTGCAAGTGGAGTTGGTGGCAGAGATAGCTTAGAAACGGTCAACAAGTGCCAAGGGTGTGCGCCAATCAGGGCGTGAAGAGCACCCCCAAAGTCGATGGAAGCGGCCCCCCCCTGCGTGCATAACTGCTTTGGAGCGGTACAGAAAGACATTCAGGCAAACCCAGCTTGGAGCAAAAAGTTGGTGAAACTCGACGGTGTAAGACAAGGAGAGACAATCGGATCTCGATCGGCAGCTTCGCGATGGAATAACCTCTTGAAACCAGTTGAATAACCATGGAGTTCGGCTCCTCCGACCGAAGAACACTCAGGGGCTCAGAGGTTCGCAAAGCCACAATGGCTTGAGAGGCCCAAAGCTCGAAATATCATTGCTACAAGCAACAACCGGTCTCAAAACCAAGAGTTGGCAACCAGGGCAAGCGGCAGGCGGAAAATAGGAGAGCACCAACTTCTCGCTGTGAACACTTTGCCCAGGGCTGATATGATGAGCGAAAGTCAAGTTTTAAGAGCACTGCTTCCAGATTCTGGCTGCTGCTGCACGGCCTCAGAGTGACACGGATATTGAGCAACATGCTCACGTTCAAGCTCGTCAATGCCACATCTGTACACGAAAACCTTCCTACGAGCATGCAAGCCTTCATCCTTCTTAGGTGAGAATCTCGTACCTTGTGGGTGCACCAAATAGTTTAAATTCTCAAATGGTTAATGATGCGCGCACAAGGCTGATGCTCCGGTGTTGCGAAGGCGTGGCAGTGGACACTGTAATATCTCGAGGAATAAACAATAAAAGGGAGGCAATAACCAGGTAGCATGATTCGGGGAAGCACAAATTTGGCCGTTGGAGTAAAGCGTGTGAACCGGTAAAGTATCTTGAGGACACAACTCGTCTAAAAGCGCCAGAAGCGAATTGCTGAAATCGGAAAAGCTTCAGCGAGTCCAAGGAGAAACTGTCAAGAAAGCTGGCGGTACAACATCAGACAGCCTGCGCGTTCACTAATGAATATTGAATAGAAGATAGGCGGTCAAAGGCAAAGCGGCAAAATCCATTTCACTGTACCCGCGTCAAAAGAAATTTTTCTTCTAGAGGCAAACGCCTCTCAAGAAAACGAGCTTCAAAACCTTCGATATGGCTGCAGTCTAAGAACCTTCCGGTAGGGAAAGGGAAAGGCAAACCCGTCTTCGAAGGGCTTCTCTACAGAACTGGCAGGAAACCATATACCAACACAACAGAAGTAGCGTCCTCGCTTGAAGAGAACGGGCAGTCACTCTTGGGTACAAGGAAGCAACAGCATTTGATCTACGAAGACTACGATTCGGGGTAAGCGAAGCATGGCAACGCGGCGTCACTCCAATCTTCATGGGCATTTTGTAAGCCCAAATTAGAAGGGCATCCTCGCCGGTTGCTTCAGGAAGAGCAAAACTGTTTTGATAAGTGTGTAAACCGACTTTCACTGGGTCTGTCTCGACCTGCCGTCAACAGAGGCCGGCCAAGGCAAGAAATCTCAAGCAGAAAGCCCATAGCCTCAAACTCAGAACATTGCACGAGATGCGTTGCATGGAATTGCTGATAGAGTCAGCAAGCTTTGCACATGAAGCGGTAGAAAGGGAAGTTCACCTCGTAACGAACCATAGCCGTTAGTTACCCATGTCGTTATCCATGTTCTCATCTTGAAACAAGGACTTGCCAAAGAAGCAACGATAACGGCGATGAGGGAAGTAACAAGCGTCGTCAGTAGTTAATGCACTTCAGAAGCAAAACTCCCCGTTTCCTGTTCGAGAGTGACCGTGTGGCTTCAGACCGTAGCACTTCACCAATTGAGCTTCATCTCATGGTCAAATTCGTCATAGCCGCTTGTCTTCTCCATTGCAAGTATTAGCGATTCTGGCGGCCAGTTGGCGAGTGGACCCTTCAAGGAAGGGGACTAGATTTGTGCAGCAGCTTTTTCTGCTTTTAAGTGACCCACCCAACTTTTTCTGCTTTCTAGTGGACCATCCAGATAAAAAGACAGCAACAATACCCGAACCGAGGAGATTGCAGGTCTGTGCAAGCTAAACAGACCGCGCACGACTGAGTGAGCGGGACAACTCATGTTGCAGCCCTTCTTCCGAACTCTATGCATTTTCAACAAGACCAAATCTTGCAAGCTAAGACCGGAACCAACAAGAGCAGCGGCTCACCTGCGCAAGGGCGCGCAGCGCGGGCAGCGACTGGAAGTCTTGGACGAGCTTGCCAAAGACGTGGCGCAGCAAGCGCGTGGGGATGTAGAAGCCGGGGCAGAAGCGCATCATGAAGGGGGTGACCGCAGGGGCGAACCACTGAAGGATGTCGAGCAGGAACGGCGTCTTCTCGTGGTAGCCCGCGGGGGAGAGCAGAATCAAGCGGGCCAGCCTGTGCAAGACGAGGCAAAGCGTTACTGATTGTGATCGAAAGTCTGAAAAACGGACCAGATCGTTCGAAGCGACCCAGACTTGCAATGCTGACCACAAGGGGCCGTGGCTCGAAAGGACCATGGAGATGCACTGAGGGCTTTCGATAGACCTGGCCGCTGGAAACAACTTGGACTTATGCTAGATTTGACTGGGCCAAGACGTCGACTGGTCATGGGAGGACCGCTAAAAGGCCTGCGGCCGAAAGGCGGCAGGGTTCGACCAGGTACGCGAAGTTTGTTAAAAGGGGGAGCAAAATCACACCCTGCAAGCTCAGACTACTATCCATCGTCTGTCCTGTTGATGGAGACAACGAATAACATGGCTTGCCTTGCAGTCGTGAAGAATCGGCTTGAAAGCAGCAATGCTGCCAGAGCATTCCTGCTTTCATAAGATGACGAAAACAATCGGTCGACACTCGTTTCTTAGCAGGTGCAAAGTGGGTGGCAACTGAAAAAAGAACGCCCTCCCATCTGCTTTGGAGTGCCCGTTTGAAATCCAAAACATTGAACCAATACGTCAGTTGAAAACCTTAAAAATTTCGTGTTCATCGAGAATGTTTTCGCAGGCTCACCGGTGGGGCTTCCCTTCAATCCGCCTGAGGATGACGTAGACGATGAGCGCCATTCCGCCCAGGCTGTGGGCGATTCCGGACAGCGTGTACGGCGGAATCTCCTCCTCGATGTCCGAAAACGCGCCGTCGTCCGCATCCGCGTACGACGAAACCCGGGACGGGTCCCGCGTGTGCCGCCCGTTCGCTTCCGCTTCGCTCTCGGCCCCTCTTCCGGATTTCCCGGGCAGGGCGGGGTGAAGGTCGAGCGACGACCGTCTAGAGCCCCCCGGTGAAGAAAGCACGTCTTTTCGAGAACCCTCGGAAGCCGCGTCGGGAATCAAGTGATCAGGGATTGGGTGAGGTTGCGTTTGAAGAGCAGCATCTTCTTCACCGAAGGAAACGTTGATGCCGTGGAGCGAGTGCGGGCTGGGTTCGGGAAGGTCTTCTAGAGCGTTTGGAGTGGAGGGCTGAGTTGTGGCGGAGTGGTAACTAGAGCGGGGGGAGATGGGGGGCAGTTCTGCGGTCTTGACGTCGTCGATGCGCTGGATCATGCCGCCCACGTCGTACTGGCTGTGCTCCAGGACAGTGTAGTCCCAGTAACTGCGAGGGTCAGGGAAGCGGGTTAGCAGGCATATAATGATCAACAAGAACCCGGAGTTTTGAGTATGTTGCAGGACTGGACTACCGACTGCAAGTGTTGAGACAGAGTCTTGCAGATGCTTCGAGAGACGACGTCTGACGACGTCAGCAGGCAGGAAGAGACACCGACAACAAGCAGGGAACAGAAGGCTTTCCTTCTTCAGATCAAACAATCAGAAACCCAAAGAAGCAAACAGACAACAAACTGAAGGACTTACTCGCGTTTCGAGATGTTTGGATTGACGTGCTCTCGTGACGTGTAGCCGCGGAAGTTGCCCAGCCAGACGTCGTACCCTGCCCCACAAAAGTCCACGACAAACGTTACGATACGAGGACCGAAATACACGTGCAAGCTGAGCATATCATTGTGCCACCATCCTAAGCATCTCGCTTCTGAAGCAGGGCCACAAGGCGAAGATTTGCAACAAACCCATGTACGTCGCAACAAACACATGAAAAGAAGGTCAGCGAGGGCAGCCCCTCAAGCAGTGCAGCTAAGGGGTATATCCTTACCGCAAAAAGGAGATTGATCACTATTGTCGTCTCGAGCTAGCAAAATCTTTCCTGAAACGGTCGTGAAACTGCCCACCTTGGTCGTACGCTGCAAACGCCTGCGAGCCCACCACCCCGTTGGCCACCCAGCCGAGCGAGCTGTCCAGTAGGCCGTGCTGCAGAATCACCGCCCGCCGAGACTCCTTCCTGCACCGTCGAACGGCACGGATCCCCTTGTCAGCTCGGTTGTGAGTAGGGAAGTCCTACGACAGAAATCCTACAACGATCGGCACGATTGACAACACGGTAATCAACGCAACCTACCAGAAGCAGCAAGACGATCGACTTCTATCAGTACCCCAATCAAGAATCATCTAACTGCGAAATTTTTAAGCCCTGAGAGAAGAGACTTGTTTTCCCACAAGTGAACCTATCTGAAGCATTGACACCAGCTCTGCTTCGCCGCTTTTGCCAAGCCCCGCCCGAAAGAAAACCCATGACATGACGTCTACATTTATACTCTTCCCCGAAGCCATTCCGCAGTTCCCCAAGGTATAATCGACCCAGGAGTGGCCCCTTCCCACAAACCGTACCTGGGTATCCGCTCCAGCCGTAGGATGTACCCATCCTCCGTGACCACCCGGTGCGCCTCGTACGGATACCCGGCGTCCGTGATGATCTGCTCCACCGTCGTGACCTTATGCTCTTCCTCGCGCGCAGTTTGCGACGCGCTCTGCGTGCGGCCCAGCCCCTGTATCCGCCAAAAGATGAAGCGCAGCCCTTCGGAAGGGGAGAGAACGTAGTATGTGGCGCCCCGTACCAGCTCGAAGCCCCAGTCGATGGCGCGTTCTAGTTGGAATTGTAGCTCCTATAGGTGAAAGTAAGTGTGAGTTTTGGGCGAAGCTGGATAGTAAAAGGGAAGAGAAAGCAAGACACTTTGGAACTCAGAAAATGGTATGAGAGGAGGTCGATGCGAGAAAGCTGACGGGCAGCGATGAGACTGTAGACGTGTAGCTTACGTCTAGGATGTGAAGAGCCTGACAAGTGTTCGAAAAGTTCTGTCAATCAAGTTGCCACGGAAGGTTGCCCAAAATGGTGAAGCGCAACCTGTGCCTCAACACGTTCAACTAGCTCACGCGACGCAGTTTCATCGAAGGGCAATGGCTTGCGCACAGAACACAGTTGTGCAATGAATAGAGGCCGAGTATCAGGGGACAGGATGATAGGAGATAAGCAAGCGAAGCTCCAGGCACTTCCTTTTCAGGAACGGCAGAATGACCTGTAACATGAGTCCGCAAACTTGAAACACCGGCCCTAGGTGCGGTGAACACATAACTATGAAGACCGCTTCTTCTTAGCCCCCTTTTATGTGCGTCCTCTTCAAAGATAGTGAACGCCTCCGTACACAACGCCCCTATGCACTTCGTTTGTTTGGCATAACTAACTTATCTGACCAAGGGTGATAACCGGACCTTCTGGAACTTTGAATTTCACGCAACTTTAGACCCGCATTTCACCTCCCATTTCCAGAATGCTCATGAGAACACCGCCGAAGCTGTCATAATCTGTGCAATCCCAGGAATCTCATGCACACACTTTTGAAGCATTCACCACTTGCCTTAAATCACGCCCCGAAACTCACCTCCAGGAGCCCCTTCTGCGCCGATCGGTTCCGCTCACTGAACGGGAATGCCGAATGCCACACATCGCTCATTCGCCGCGACAAACTGTTCTCACTCCCGCTCTTGGGCAAACTGCCCCCAGCTGCGGAGTTCCTCCTACTTGGATGCGTTGACCCCTGCTCTGATGCTATCGGAGACAGCGGATTCGAGTGTCCGTTCTCTCGACGGGAATGTGGGCTTCGCCCAAACATTCCCGAAATGAATCGGCGGGATCGGCGGAAGAGTCCGTTGCGGGAGTGATGGTGGGAAAAGAAGGAGGCGGTGCTGTCATCGTCCGAACCCGACTCGGATCCGGATTCGGACAGGAGGTTTTGGTCAGAGTGGGTGAACTCGCTGACCATGCGATTGAAGTCGGAAACCCCGCTGCAGGAAAGGAATGGGATGTCACGATGTGGATACCAACTGCTGTTGCAAATGTGAGGCAAGGGATCTGCAGAATGAATCACAGCTGGTTGCTGATTCTTCAGTACCTCAAATAAACCACTTGGGGGTCTAAAAGAACGCCACAGCGGAGCCTGCCGTTCTGCACTTCCTGACTAACTCCTTCCCTCTACTTCTGATCCTTATTCCACGACACCAGCCCACATGAAAATGTTGACTTCTCCTGAAAACTCCAGCCAACTTTGGTCCCCTGCTTGCTCACATGTCTGGACTCAGTACCCAGCGTGAGATCAACATCTGTCTTTCCAACAGAGTCAAACTAGCTTCGGAGGCTAATCTCACGTTTCCATCCATCTGGGCATGGTGGGATGCGTGAAGCTGCTCCATGTGGAGCCGTCCCCCGCCCCCGGGATGATGCTTACGACCACCGCAGACACGCCGTTGATCCACTTGATCGTGTTGTTGAACGCCTCACGCGACACCGTCTTCAAAGCCCTGGAGCCCAAAAGAAGGTCAAACTCAGGGGCGACATTTGAAGCCGCAACCGGGACTGCCCAGCTACATTAAAACCTTCCGTTCATCAAAAAACTCAACTGCTGCAGATGAGATTGAGAGGGCGTGTATCAGGACTTGCAATTGCACAAGAGCGGACAAAGGCTACGGGTACTCGTTCCAAGGGAGCAGCCTGATAGCACAAAGTAAAGTGGCAGTGCTGCTGTACGTCAATGTTATCCATATTCTGATTATCACGATATTATCAATCAACTTAAGTTGCGGAACTTTCGTAAGCCACAGAACACCAGAGCAGTTACTGGCTAGCGTCGAACGATTCGCAAGGTGCACTTGAACCCTGACGTTCAGAGCCTAGCGATCCATACTCAGAGTATGACATTAATCAACAGTGAGATACTTCTGTTAGTATTACTTCCAATCAGCTGATAATCATTTTGGGGCCCCTTTTCTTAGATGAAAACTTTTAGCATTTTGGAAAAAAGCCATGCAAGTACGCAAACAGTGGATATAGGGAAGCGGCGCAATGACACTCACTCTTTTGCATTCCCCAGAATGGTATCCACGATGGCCTGCATGGTGTCGACGACTGGTGCCCAAAATAAGTTTGACTATGTCCCAGTGATTATGCCCGCTTTCTCAGCACCACATGCCAACTGCTCGGTCTTTCTCTTTGATTTCGCAGCCGCTATCCCTTATACCAAGAGCCAAAAGAATAACCCCACCCACTTGCTGGGAGAGAAAAAGAATAAAAAGAATGCCCATACAAAATTGATTGCCCAAAGGCTGCCACCGCCGTAACCTATGCTCTCAAGCCCGTGCACACACAAAGGAAGTTTCTTGGCTTGCTGTCTCTTTCTTGACAAGATGGACAGAACCGACTTTCCTCCTATCTTTTTCAAGAGATTAGTATGCTGTAAGCTCCTCTAATATGCTCGGGACTGATCGTAAATTGAATTCTTTGCAGTGCCTGTCATATTGCTTGTCGCATCGCTGTCTTGTCTCCCATCTCTTTCAGATGCACCTTTCGCTACAGGATGAAAAAGCTGACGTTAGAAACAAGGTGCCGTTTTAAGACCAGCTAATCCTCGTCCTCTTTCTCCAGACTTCCCTCCCCTTTCCTTTCCCCGCTTCAAAGTCCATAGATGGAGTATGGCACGTCTTCAAATGTCAAAACAACATGCACCCTTGTCCATCATGACCACTCTGAAGCAACAAGACGCCCAGCTAGCGGCTAAGCACAAGCTCAACGAAAAATTCGGAAAATGACTGACACCCCATATGAACTTAAATTTAGAAGCGCATCCGACTCCGAGTCAGCCCCAAGTCAGAATGGAGACAGCTGGCACCATTTGGCGGGTGTACTGACCCGGCGTTCCCTGATTCGTTGCTCAAGATTCTCTGCCGCCGACGTGGAACCTTCGGCAAATCGACGGACGAGAACCTCAAGCGGGGTTGATGGACCGTCGATTGTGAGCGAAGAAGGTGAAGCGACGCGTATGGTACTTGCACAGCCATGATGGTCTCGATGGTGGAGTCGGCTCATTTGAGAAGGAGCTCATGGCTGTCTCTCACATTAATTAGGTATTCCGACCCTTCAAACTCCTGATCCCGATGGAGACAAGAAAAGGCTCCCGTGTGCATTCTGATCAGCTTTCGTCCAATGGCTGAAAAGCGGAGGGTAGATACGTAAAGCTGATTCTGCCTTCTGAAGAAGTTTGGTTGCATTCCAGTAGCCTGTTGACCAGGCTAAACGTACCATGCTTCGTACGGCAGAACTTCGAGTGCAGTTCAGCTGAGAACAAAGCACGACTCATGTTTCGCCATTGGACTATCAGCTTGATTTTTCAGCATAGACAAGACCGCCATCTCATCAGCTGCCGCGCTGAGCCAATGATCCAGCTGACCAACTTCGCGCAGCAACCGTGACATTGCTGGACATCAGTTTTATATGCGCAAGATTCCCTATTCATGATTCTTACAGACTCATCACCTCTCTCCCTCCGATTAGCTGTGCCATCCAGTTTGTGGAGGCACGGAAGAGTTGAAGCCAGTTTACGGTGCTTGTAGACGTTCTGAAATCTGAAAGAGGAACCTCCTGGGATCGACTTTCGAAATACATTGTGCTCTGTCGATAAGTCAAGTGCAGGGGAAAGGGGGCCATTTGGTTACCACATTAACGTTCTGTGCTGCCCAACAGCGCGTCTGGGCGAGATGATTGACTAAAAAGAAACTTCTGATGATCAGAGTCGAGGTTAGCTTTCAGACGCTGTGCTGAGAACACATCGGCCAAGGAAGATGACAGGTCGAGTAACAGTTTGCCCCATCTGAAAGGTTGTTTAGAAGGCACAATCTGTGACACGCCCAACCAGGGGCATGTCTGTACAAAGAAGTATCAGCAGGAGAGGGTCTACATAGTCTGAGCGATCTTTTGCGCGTTGGATCAGGAGTGCCGGATGAGAAATCACTTTTAAGATCTGGTGAACGGGGCTCCTGCCAAGGGGTGTCTTTGAGCTTCGAACGGAGGTTTCTCCTGCGTCAGTTGGATCAGATGCACCCTGCAAGCCAGTCTTTGTGAGCAGCAATGTGGAATCAGGTAAGAAGGTGCTCGAAAGTCGAGTGAATGGCAAGCTTTGGAGGCCAGCCAATAATTCAGAGTTTCTGACTTATCAAAGGGCTGGCAAAACTGAAGGGAAGGGTATGCAGACGCGGTTGGATTGGACAATCAAGCCATTGGTTATGATCCTCATGATTGTGGCTAGCACGTGCACTGCTTGGTCATCCCACCACATCAGGTGGCCCCGAAAATTTACTTACACAAATCTGTGGTGGTTTTGCCAGTACAAGTCCTCAGAATTTCGTTAAGTGGCTCAGCCCTCCTCTGCAATCAAGAGCGGAAAGAAGATTCGAAGGCCAACACAAATCCATTTCCCAACAGCCCACAAAGCTCCATAAGCAGGCAACGTCGATCCAGACGTTTGCAAGAGGGCCATGCAACCCATACTCAGTATTTCGAGGGAGCAAAGATGTCAAAGGTCATTGATGTTCCGAGAAAGCGTCAGAACGCTGGTCCTGTTAGCTTCTCCTCTCACACAAACGTAAGGCTGAGGGCATAGAAGGGCGTCATGAAACAGAGTCCGTTCACAAGCTCATGGTCTCGAACAACCCCGTGCGCGCAGGCCGCTCTCTGGAGCGACCCCGAGTTGGAGGGATGGTTAGAGAAGCGCGGGGGCAAGTACAGCGGGTGGAAGAAGCGCTACTTCGTGCTGCAGTCCAGCCTGCTCTTCTACTTCACCAGCGAGGCCAAGGTGGGGACGGTCTCAACGAATTGAGGGAACCGAAAAAAGTCGCGTCGAGCATTCGGAAAACGGTCAGCAACAAGAGTTGATCCGAGCAGACGAAGGGGCCTTTGGAAAACCGTCAGCAACAAGAGTTAATCCGAGCAGACGGAGAGGGGACGGAGCGAAGAGGACGATACAGTCAACGCAACAAGGTCTTGAGAGTCTCAAAGCGTAGTCTTTTGCGAAGCCGGGGAGGTCAATACTATTATTGAGGAGATTGACAGTTGGTGGGGTGCCTGTTCGACCGTCGGATTTTGTGACGCAGTCTGCTCCTGTAATTTGAACCGTACAATCTGGTCACTTCGAGCACCTTGCTCGTCCGCAAGTCTCTCCTCTTCTTACACAACGCCCTTGTTTCGACAGCTTCGAGCTGGCAATAGGTTACTAAATTTCCCCTCGGCCTCCATTATCCGCAGGACAAGGGCCCCACAGGCGTTCTCCCGTTGGAAGGCTCCACCGTGACGATTGCTGATGAGGCCGCGGCCGGGAGCAAGCACCACTTTGCGTTTGTCCTGAAGCTCGCGCCCAATTATGGCGACGTGGCCAAGCGGGACACGTACGTGCTGGCAGCGGACAAATACACCGGCCTGGTGAGAAGGGAAAAGGGTTCAACGGATCTTTAATGGAAATTTTTAAGTCACCGGTAAATCTTGCCCATGAAAATGCTCAAGTCAATCGTAAATCTTATTTGCCCATGATCACGATAATCAAGTGCTCGTACGTGATAAAAACGTTTTCCCCATGATCGCAAACTTCGAGTGCTCATACGTGAAAGAAAGAGCGGACTGGTGAGGGAAGGGAGCGATCCGATCGACTTGCCCGCTCCATAGGCACGGAGCTTCAATTCGTTTTCCTAATCATTGCAGAATCGATTATATGTAGCTTATGTATAGATAATGACGTCCAATTATTGAAAGTTGAAGTCGCTCAAAGTTAGAAGAAACGCGCAAAGGAACATGAGAGATACTGATCTTTGCTGCTGAGTCTGATTTCGTCTGAAGCTCGAGCCCAAAAACGCAGTCGAGCTCGAGCGAGTCTGCAAAAAACTCTCCTAGTGGAATGGTCGCCTCCGGTTTGTGCGTGCACTGTTCTCCGTTGTCAACTTCGTGACGCTTCAAAGCGCAGACTAGCGCACCTTTCTTTCGACGTTGCCAAGAAAATTTCTTTCTGATGTCAAATCGTAAGAACGCCTAGATAAACTATCTGATATATGCCCACTTTTTGCTTCGGTCGTTTCAGCCATATTCAATCTATGCTTTTCTGACTTCGTAACACAAGATTCGAGCTTTTCGGTGTTAAGCCTCCGACTCAAGCCCCCATTTCTACTTGCAGGACGAGTGGATGCAGAAGCTCACAAGGGCCGCAGACTCTAGGGCGTACCTCGTTGGTGAGTTCCGTCATACACTGAGGAAACTCAGCTTGAACACAGAACTGTCGGTTCGCCTTTTGCTTGACACCCCGCTTCGAGGATGATAGCACATGGCAAGATGCACGGCTCTCCTTCCTTCAGAAATCGGCGCTGAATACTTTTCGCAAATCAGGGTCCATATCGTATTTTGGGGGCGTATCGCATATGCTTCTATCATTTAGTGGGCTTCCACCGTCCATTTTCAATCGACTTCCGAGCATACCTTTGACTTGGATCACGAAAACTCTGGTCAAAGAGACGTACAACTGCGTTGAATTCGCCCAAATCAACTGTTTTCGGCTGTGCAGGCGAGTTGCAGCGGCTGCGCGCGCGCTCGGGCGAGTTGAAGGCGCTGCTGCAGCGGTCGCGGTCGCACATGGCGCTCATGGCGGCCGCGTCGTCCGCCAGCGAAACCTCGAAAGCCCTGCAGGTCAGGCCCTCCCCGCTTGTACTGTTTGCTTGATTACGGGGGACGTCTTTATCGATGATAGTTGACGCTCCTGTGTTTCTGAGCGAGGGCCTGTGCCACGCTCAGTTGCGAAGAAGGGGCGTTGATCGCCTCGTATATACATTCTCGGCCGGTCTCGGCATGTGACCACAAGCCAGGTCTTTGAACAACCTGTTGAAGTAGAGAACAAGAGGCTCTTTGAGAAAGACGAGGAATGTACCGCAGGATCACCTCAAAATAATGTCCGTATCACTCGGATCCTCTTCGCGAGGCAAACAAGTATCCCCCAGTCGAAAGGGCGAAGCCCTTTTCGAGCGTGCCGTCTGGGAAGGCACCGCTTCGTAAGCTCTTAGCGACGTCAAGGGCTTTCAACACCACAACCTACTCTGACCTTTCGCTCGTTCGTGCAGGCGGAGCTGGACCGGGCACGTGCCGAGCTGGAGCAGTACAACGGCGTGACGGCAAATGCCGTGACCCAGGCTGACCAGCAGGAGGCGGCCATCTTGCGGGCGGCGTCGCGCTGCTCCGTCCTCGGACACTACGCAACAGGTGCGGACGTCCGAACGCGCTCACAGATTTGCGTGAAATATGACAGAATACAAAGTATGAAAGTGCCCACAGAGAATTGCGTGATGGTTGTCTTAGCCAGGGTCGATGACAAAACGAGTCGCCCTCTGTGGATACACAGTCCACAGGGTGGCTTAGAAGGGAAAATGCTGGTGTCTTTCGCAACCTGGCAAGTGTGATCCATAAGGAAGCAAAGCACGAACCCCGTAGAAAGAACCGCTTTGTTGACTTCTCTGCCCAATAAACGGCTTCGCAGAAAGCAATGTGCCACCCAAAAGGAAGCAAAGCTGGGGTTGCTCAAGAAGAGGACGTAACGGCCAGCTGATTGACGGAGCTTGAATCAAGCATTCGGATTCAGCAGGAGTTCCATTTGATGGTAGCGGTACGCTGGCATCTCATTAAGCTATTAACCTAGCGCCTCAGTAGAATCGACGAAAAACGTGGATTGGGTGGAAATAGCAAGCGGACGCCTGGCACGGCTCGACACGTTTGAGGCCCAGCCGTTTGTTCTCGACGAAATCTTATCAGGCGATGTTGCAAAACCCTATTGGCATCCTTCGGTTTCTAGGAAACTTTCTCCTGAGGTAACGGACGAAGCCTCAAGGCCGGTCTCGTCTGGTAATCAACACCGCTGTACACCCCTTTCAGGCGGAAGCATGGCTGGCGAGGCCCCCGCTGTGAATGCGCTCCGAATGGAAGCGCAGAGCCTGGAGGAGGTCCTCGCGCTCCTGCAATCCAAAGTGGCCGCGCTCCGAGGCGACGGCGCCGAAACTCTAAGCGGCGACGCGCGGCGGCAGCTGCAGGGCGTCGCGCGTGGCGCACTCGCGGCGCTGCAGCAGCGCCAGGCGGGCGCACGCGCGAGCAGCGCGCAGTCGCGCGCGAGCAGCGCGGGGGGCAGCGTCAGCTCGAGCTTTGGCGGGGTGTTCAGCCGCGCGGGCAGCGCGACGAGCTCCGTTGGCGCGCGTTCTTCCGGGGGGGCAAGTATCGCCTCTATTCCGGAGGGGGTGGAGGAGGGAGACGCGCCGAGCGGGCTGCTCGCGCAGCTGCAGCTCAAGTCGAAGCAGATGGGGGTGGGACAGCAACCACAGGCGGGGCGACCGTCCGCGGGGTCGTTCACAGGGGTGCAGTCGCCGAATGTGTCCCCCCCATCTTTTACAGCACCCCCGCCCGCTCCGCTCGGTCTGCAACCCCCCAAGATGCCTCAGTTTGGTGCCCCCGGAGCTCCCCCCCGGGCTGTAAACAACGGCGGCTGGCAGGCGGGCTATGCCAAGGAGGGCTTCCCGGGCGTCGACGCCATCCGACAGCTCAACCCCACACCTGTCGCGGCCGCGCCCGCGCCCATGGTCCGCCCAACCCTCCCTCAAACCCTTAGCCCTCCGAGTTCTGTCCCCGCTTTCGGTGCCCGCCCCGTTGCGCCTTCGGCGCTTCAACCGGGCTTCGCGAACCCCGGCCTTAACCCCGGCCTTAACCCCGGTCTTAACCCGGGCTTTAGCCCCGGACTGACCCCCGGCCTCACCCCAGGACTCACCCCCGGTCTTAACCCTGGTCTTAACCCTGGGTTTCCGAGCCGCCCAGTTGCTCCAAACGGGTTCAACATGGCTTCCGTGGCAAGCCAGCCGGTGGTTAGACCGCCCCTCGCTCCACCCCAAGCCCCAGCGGCACCAGTAAAGACCGGGGGATCCCTCGCGGAGCAACTGGCGGCACGTGCCGGAAATCTCAAGTCTGCGACATCTTCCCCACCGCCAGGTGAGACAGTACATCTATCTGGAATAATAATTTCTTCATCTGATGACCAATGAGTTCTGTTCTGAAGCCCGTAATCAATGGGATTCTGGTGCACATGATTGAGTGAGTCTCGCATCAAGAGAAGTTTTTTAGCGGAAGGTTGATCCTGGCGCTCTTCCGGAGGGTAGCCTAGAAACAGGGTGCTGAATCTATCTTCGTGTAATTAGTCAGCAGCACGCGAACGCGTGGCCGGTATGAACCGGCGTAGGATAGATTCGAGTTCGTCCGCATCGGAACATCGTCTAGTCCAGGACATGGCTGTTTATGGAATGCGTTGTACAAGCAACCGGTGCAGGAGCGTCGCGTATGCTCCTCCCATCCAGATCAAAAAGAACTCAGAACGAAGACGACGACTTCGCAATACACAAAGCTGGAAGTCTTCGGCCCAGTGCCACCGGAATCGGGGCTGCAATCCCAGGAAGTTTTTACTGTGAGATAAGCAAACGCGCCGAATGGATCGCGAAAGCCCGCCCAAATGCTTCACCTCTCCTCTGCGCCAGTTGCGGCCCCTCCCGTCCCCAACCGAGCGCCTGCCCCTGCCATTAAAGGCCGTGGCGGGCCGCCTCCCCCGCCCCCCCCCATGCCGACCCCAGAAGAAGCCGCGGCGTTTGTGAAGGGGAAGGCGGCCGCGGCCGCGCCCCCCGCGCCCGCGCGACCGAACGGCACTTCGAACGCCCCAGCCAGCAGGCCTGGGGGAGGAGTGAACCTAGCCGACCAACTGAGAATGAAGGTGCTGAGCAGGAGAGTAGCGGACGAATAACGCGATGAAACGTCGGAAGCACTTGATACGGACGTGCGAAGAGAGTTGAGTGAAGATGTTCGATTGGAAACGCATAAGAATCCGAAAAGCGGAGCAGGACTACCAGAGCTAGGGCTACGACCTTTCAGTTACGGTTCTATATTGTGGGAGACACTTTATGGCAGAGGCCGCGGACGTTTGCATGCACCATGAGCATGACCAGTATACCTCGCCGTGCACTGTGGCGGCCGGGCCAGTGATCTCGCGGACTCTCCACCAGTGGAGGAGGGGGCGGCAAATTCTTCGAAGCTCCCTATATGTTTCGAGAGGTGGCCGCCGCCGCCGGCGGTCACTGCAAACTTAGCTTGATGCCGCGCGTTGAACGAAGTTTTTTCACGCCAAGCCGTCGAATCTAACAAGTGCATGAATTGCGTGCGGAACGCGCGCGCGGCTATAAAAGGGACTGCACGTCGTCCGGTCATGCTCGAGGGGACGCTGGTATACTTACATGCCGCCGGCGCGTGCTACATTGTCATGCGATATAGGCTCGACATGCGATTGGACTCGGCAAACTAGAGCGGAACGTGTTGCATTGGTAAAGCGTTAAATTTACATGATGTATCATGCGGGACTTATGGAATTCATATTCATTCATTATCAGGGACGGAGGGTTTCTTTCAAGAGAGAAAAGCCCTTAGTGAGGGTAGAAGTTATGTGGCTGAACAAGTTGAGATCTTGGAGTCACTCGTGCTAACATTCAAGGCTATCCTCACCTTACCCGCAATTGTCCGTCCTTTCGGAGGCACAGCCCGCAAGAATGGTCGTGGTGCGCAATCAGTGTTTTGGATGTCCAAAATGGTCAAGCATGAGCAAACGACAAACATAGGCACATGGCACTTACTGATTGAAAGATGGCGTCGCCGGAGGCATGAGACATTCTGAGATGAAACGAGGGTGTAACGCTGAAGGCTTATAAGGCCGGTTAAATTACTGTCGTGTTCGTACTGTTATTCTGGTTAAGTTCTCCGCGAGGTCCTTCTGCTTCCGTGGTGTTGTCGTCGCTGGTACGGTACTGCTCCTTTGGTTCCGCCGATAGTACTGGCAATTGATTGAGTGCTCACGGCACTCGGATGCACTGGGTTGAACGCTCAAGGCGCTCGGATGCTGGGTTGGGCACGGGTGCCCGCTGGTGATGGATAATTGACTTGAATGAAAGTCGAATTGGAAATGGCGATGCCAATTGACTTAAGTACCTTGTGGAGACTTGCTTGAGTTTGGATGTCCAAAAGCATTGTCATGATGAAAATGGACTGCATGCTAATGTTGGGTTCGTACCTGGGTCCGTCACGGTTACACAACCGGTAAAATAGCCTCCGGGTATGTACCCTTAGAATGTTGTGGAAACGTCCTAGGATTGAATCCGGCAATTATAGGGATTCAGCGAATGCAACTGGCTAATGGACGTCCAATGGAATGCGTCCGTTTGTCATCCTGTTCTGGCATGTTCGCTAGTTAAGGTACGGTTATTCTAATCATGAACAAGTCTGCTTAACCTAGTACTTGCACGATTGCGCCACGTGTTGCACGCTTACAGGCTAGTCGAGGCGACCTGGCACCGAGGGCATATGGCATGACAGCTGTCATGCGATATAGGCTCGACATGCGATATTGGACTCGGCAAACTAGAGCGGAACGTGTGCATTGGTAAAGCGTTAAATTTACATGATGTATCATGCGGGACTTATGGAATTCATATTCATTCATTATCCCCCCCTAAGCCACCGAGTTGTACCAATGAGGGATTAGGCTTGTGATTGTGCAAGGAATAACGAGTGACAGTTTCACTGCCCACGGGCATCAGTTGATTGTTCCTAGATTACGGCGGCGTTCATTGATTCAATTCTAGCAAATGCTCTCAGTGGACCTAACGAATTGCCTGACTCTGCTGCCACCACTTAAGTATGGCATCGGCTCTGACCCGAGATCACGGAGCGGGGGCGTGGGAGTAGGTAATCCTCTAGATATCACTGTTATATGTTGCCGTATCTTTCTACAAAATTTTGGGCACATTTTGTTGTGCGATCATTCTCTCCTGCGCTGACTTGTTTCTCAATGAACTCTAGCATAACATTCCTTGGGGGAGTGCTCATGCGGCGTGTGATTACAACATTTTGGGGATAGTGCTCTGCGCAGTCACGAAGTTCCTGAAATAATTCGGCCCGCGGGCACTGTAGCAGCAGAAACTGACGCATAGTAATTGGTGTGCAATGCATCTCGTTGTTTCGTTCGAGTACTTCCAACTCTCTATACATTTTATCTACGAGGGCATACCATTGGTAGTTGGTATGCACCAAAACTTTTACCTGATCATGCCACTGATTAACTCGCCAGGCGAGTTGTGCTTTCTTGTTTGGCCAGAAGCCATGTTCCCACTTAAATGCGGTCATTTTTCTGTTGTTGTCGTAGGAGACGTCATCAGGGCAGGCTGGTGGTATGGGTGTGTTGTCAATGGGCGCGAGCTCGTTAAACGGTATGGGCTCAGGCGGTGGTCCCCAACCTGATGAGGTTGGTTGCCTGGTTGTTTCCTGAGGTGCAGAGCTGGACGCCATGGTTCCTGCAGATATAATACAGCATCTTTGTTATTCCCCCCCTTACTGAGCACTTACACTGCACATCGTGGGCAAAACCAATCTCCTTTGGGAATTCTACTGACCGGTGGATTTAAGCAATCCATGTGGTAGCCTTCACTGCAGTAATCGCAGATTAGCATCTTAGATGGTCGGTTGGTTTTCTTGCAGATTTGACAGGCCCAGTCCTCGTCGTATCCTGAAAGCGTAGTGTCCATTGTGAGATCAATGGTCGGATTATGACAGGGGGCACAATTTTCAACGTGGTCTTTGATGGTTCTACCATCTCTTCCTTGTAGCCTGAGCGCACCACTCGGTAAGACTTCAGTGATTCGCAAAATGAGTCGGCCTACGTTGACGTTGAGGGTGTCGACTTTCCTGCGACGCAGATAGACTAGGTCCCCTACCTCAAACCGTTTGACCTTGGGGCTCCATTTCCTGGTGCGGGTCTTGGCGTACCACAGGGTGTCTCTGTGTTGTGCGGCTTGAAGGTTGCTAAAGGCAATCGGTATTGCCTTTCGAAACTCCTCGGCGCGGTGGGCAATGACGTCTGCCCATGTTTGAGGGTCATCTAGGTTGACTGGGGTGTTGATCATGTCTCGGAGGCTAGCTCCCACCACTGGGTGGCGCCCAAACATTAAGAAGTAAGGGGAGTAGTCTCCTAGTGCAAAATGCTTGGACATGCGGTAGCCCATGGCGATCCAAGGCACCCATGTATCCCAGGTGTGAACTGCGTGAGTTAGCACGTATTTACGAACGGCTTATTTTGTGGTTTGAACGGTTCGTTCTGCCAGGCCGTCTGCTTGTGGGTGATCCCGTGATGTTTTGCGGTGATCAATAAGAAGCTCCTTGCACAGTGTGTCAAATTCTCCCTGGAATTTTGACCCTTGGTCGGTGAGTACTTCTGCTAGTGCCCCAAAGTGGGTGCACACTTGGAGAAAAGCCTTGGCTGTTTCTTCTGAGGTGTTATCAATTAGTGGAACCAGTTCTATCCACTTAGAGAAGTGCTCTATCATTACCATGATGTACCAGAACCCTGTTGCTGAAGGAGGGAGTGGACCTGCTAGGTCACAACTCCATCGGTACCCTAAGCCCATTATTGGTACGGGCTTGAGCACTGAGTCTTTCACATTAAAGCTGGCTTTAACGCGATCGCATACCTGGCAGCTTGCTACCAACTGCGCTACCTGCTCATGCATGCCTGCCCACCAAAACGTGGGTTCTAATAACGAGTAAGTTCGTTTAACTCCGAAATGGCCTAATTGGCGATGAATGTTGTGTACCAGTTCTGCCCTTGCTTCGGGCGGTGGGACTCTCTTTGCGAGCCCATCGTTGATTACTTTAATGAGGGTATGGTTGTCAAACTTATACCCCTGCGCTTTGCGCCATATCCTGTCCCGTTCCTTGCGGGTTGTGTGGCTTGGGTAAGTGCAACTATCCTGCAGATATTGCATAGTGTTCGCGTCAGACCAGATATCTGTGATGAGTACTTCGCCCGAGTCGTCACCAGGAGGTCTCCATCTCTATCTGTCCCTGGAAAGTGTGAGTTGTCTGATTCCTCTATGTCATTAGTTGATTCAACTAGGGGAATGACTGCGTCGGTGCCCGTGACGCCGGTAGTTGGCTCAGCTACCAAGCTTGCCTCTGATGGGGAAAGTGCTGACTCAGATTGAGCTTGTGAAAGGGTCTGCTTAGGAGATTCGCCAGATAGAATTGTAGTTCCCTGAGTGACGTGAAGATCGGGGGCGGCTATTTGATCTTGTGCTTCGTGCGTGGGGTTGGCATTCACTGGAGACGAGATGTCAGCACTCACCCTTGAGGCGAGCTGCCTTGAAGCGCATGCCTTAAGCTTCATGACGTGGCCTGTTGTCGGCAGGTCCCCCGTCGACAATCTCTGCACGGGAAAGAAAGCAACGTGGCTTGTCTAACACTTGCTGCGTGATCTCCTTGACCACGCGAATGAAGGGCATGCGGCGAATGAGGTGGCTGCCAGTACGTTGGAACTTCCTAATCTCTTTGAGG